GTAGGCTGCTTCTGAACACAATCCGTCTTCCAAATCGCTCCAAGGGAAACTGTGCTCTAGCCCCACTATGCCCACTATGCCCACTATGCCGCACTACTCAAGATTGCGATTCCTCATCCGAAATATCTCCATAGCCCAGCTCCTGACCATGGGAAGGATAAGTGAATCCAACTACGGATGACAGAGCTATCAATAGACATAACACATCAAAGTATAACACACGCTGTGTATGAAGCAATGATAGACCATGATTGAAACTATATCTGCCCGAAATTCTACATATCTCAGGCGGGCCTCAGGTGGCACTGGAGAAAACACTTCAGTTTGCAAGGCATTCTCCTACGGCAACCTTTGCAACTGTCATCAACTGTCCAAGAATCAGATTTCCTCCGTGACTCTATGACACAACTCTGGCAAAAAAGGCGGCGCCCTGAGTCTTAAGCGTGTCTTGACATCCTACAAATGAAGTAAGAAGCTTTAAGAAGCCTTGAAACCGGAAAGCGGTAAATCAAACTTCTTCATGCTTATTCTGCCATAAGATCACAAAGCAGGTGATCCAAATGCTCCACCTTGCTCCACATCTGATGCCTTGAAGAAGGTCTTGACGATGTCCATGTCAACGAAGTCAGTATTGTTCGGGTCGTAGACCTGCTTTACCATGGGCTAGACAGATTGGCTACAGTAGATGAGATCTTGATGGTACAAATTACCAACAGGGGAAATACACAATAATGATCAATAATAATGCAGAATGACAACTGTATAATTTTTGCTGGACTGTCTGACAATCCTCCCACAAACTTTGATCTAATCAGGGGCACGAACAAAGGTTCAAAAGAAATGAGTTTCCCTTTAATTGAGAACCGCATGCCAGAATAGAACCTCCTGCCTGCTCTACCAAACTTTCTGACAGCTGCAAGCTAGTGTAACTTCCATTAAATTCTAAATATATATATATATATATTATGTCACATAATTATGTCCATCACATTTCTATCCGTTTCGCTTCAGGACCCTTTCCCTGTCGAAAACGCAAACCGCAAAAAGCAGACGGCTCCTTTTCTCATGTATATAACTCTCCCGCAACAGAAAGTTTGTCTGTGCTGGAGGCCTTTCCCGTTCTGCCGAGATATCGCGAGCAGCGTCAGGAAGGATGCAAAAAGCTGCCAATTTTGCCTCACAGATTTAATACACATTGGTGGGAAAATGTGCGAAATCAATCATGGTACTTTGCCCCGGCTTTTTGGCAAGGAAAATGCCAACATCTTTCAAGGCTGTAGGTACGAGTAGCTTCAGAGTAAGCGATGCATGGCCGGCTTGGCAGTATGTAGACTTCATCAGGAGTCTGTAGCGCCAAGTTATCAAACATAACTCAGTAACTACATCTTTGACACGATTGACGCTGCTGTCTACAGCAATGCTCCTGATGATCCTGGGCAGAAGCACGCTCTGAGAAGATTTTGAGGGATTCTGAGAATCTGTTTGCAGCTCAAATTGGATTGTGGCTCAGCAGGACTGGTGCTTCTGTCCAAGGTGGAAAAAGTCATTACGGTTTAAAACATGAACGAAGCTTCCCCTGAGAGGAAGAGAACCCCAGTACCGGGTAAAATGCAGGTAAATATGGAAACATCCCTGACAGAATCTTTGGTTTGCATCTGTGATAGTCACTACCATGCTTGATTTCCCTTGCTTGCCCATCATGAGGGATACCTATGGACCAACACTTTCGGTTTTTTGCATGCATTCCCGATCCTTTGTTCCTGTTGTCTACTACATTGTGAATTGCACCAAAGTCAGATGGATATTACTAGCCTTGTGTGCACCGGCACCCCATGCAGTGGTGCAAGGAAAGACCATTTCAAGGGCAAAAAAATACCCCAAATGGACAACCTAGACGGGGTCTGTGTTAACTCCTTCAAATCTGCTAGAGTGGCTACAACAATGGAAAAAAACAATTGTGGCTGCAAAGGCATATTCCAAATAAGGCCAGTTGACGAAAACATCAGGTATATAATCTATGCAACTCCATGCAATTCAAATGATGGTGGCGAAGTGAAGAACTAGATAAAACTAGCCATGCTGCTTCAAAATCAAAGGCAAGCTCTCTCCTCCACTTGGGGTCGTCTGTCGATTCGATAATCAAGTTGGGTCGGAATGTCTTCAGCGTCTCTGCTCCGCAAGAGACGCCGCAGTTGTGCTGTTCTTCATTAACAGGGCGCGCTAACATGTGGTCCCCCAACAAGAGAGATAGCCACCATCTCAATGATATCAAAACCGTATCTAATTGATGATATCTGATAAATAATATGCGTTGCTTTGCTGGCTGGACAGCCATTACATTCATCATCCTATACTAAAATCACGTTTGATATTTATATGGCACTGCATATCCAACTACTAGAGGGATCTAGATGGTGCTTGTGGCTTTTCTGCGACTTTCAAGCGCTCTCTCACATGCCAGCATTTTTTCAAACTGATGCCCCCATGGCCGCTCTCAGGGCATCTTCTTGAGGAGCATCTGGGGCAGGTCGCCTGGCAGGGCCAGCCACCGGCTGTGCCCACGGTGCAAAGCCAACAAATTCATCATATTGATGGCAGAAAAGTACAAGTCATACTACATCCTTCATACAGTGAGTCCAAAAAGGGCCATGCGTCAACAGAACACTGTTGCATACTGTTGCCATCCAGGTACTCTCTGTCGGAGCTGTACTTGTCGGGGTCAACAGTGCTGCCTGCAATTGGCCGGGTAGAATGATACCATTTGCAGTGCGTATGTATAAATATGTATATTTACATTATAAAAGATAGCACCTGTCTCTCACATCTCTTCAACGAGGTCTTTAGGAGTGAACGCTGGAAAAAACATTCTGTTTGGAAGAATTAGTATGAAACAACACATCCCATAATAGGTATGTTGTATGTCACTTTGCAAAAACATGCAAAAACCACGGTCACAGTTGAAATCATCGCGGAGTCAGTTGAAGGGCATGCCAAACATTGTTGGACATAAATTAGCCAGTTGCTGCAAGTTTTGAATTGCAGGACAATAGTCAAGTAGCATACCTGAAAATCAAATCAACGTGCCCATGAGTTGGACAAATAATGACAAATCCACAGAGTAATTAAATAAATCACCTTTAGACGATCAAATGCAATGCAGCACTATATACAATTGCACACACACAATAACACGCACTTACATACACTCACGCAAACAATCACATAAACCAATTCACGCACGCATATATATATATATACATACATACATACTTACATTACATACATACATACATACCATACATTACATTAAATTACATTACATTACATTACATTACATACATACATATTATTATGCGATCATGGATGTGCATGTGAAATTACTTTTCAAAAATAATACTAATTTTAAAACAATGCAGTCAATTAGTCTATGTATGCAATATATACGATCTTTTTGCATACCAGTAGTACCGCACAAGGCGGTGGCGGAAGTTTGAAAAAATAGGAAACCTATAGGAGAGGTTGGTTGTTGTGAATCAGGGATGGCAAAGCGAATCCACTGATGGACCCAAAGTCTCCTCTCTGTCTCTCTCTTTCTCTGACTATCTACTCACTTACCAGCCTATCTTCTATGTATCTATCTATCGATCTATCTATCTCTCTCTTTCTCTCTTTCATCTAATTACCTAATTACCTATCTACCTATCTACCTATCTATCTATCTCTCCCTCTCTCTTTCATCTGTCTATCTGTCTAGCTGTCTACCTGTCTATCTATCTATCTATCTATCTATCTGTCTACCTGTCTATCTGTGCTGCACTGTCATTCAGTGTATTGTAGTGTAGTGTAATGTAGTGTAGTGTAGTGGAGTGTAGTGGAATGTAGTGTAGTGTAGTGTAATGTAGTGTAGTGTACTTTCGTGTAGTGGAGTGTAGTTGTGTAGTCGTAGTTGTAGTTGTAGTGTAGTGGAGTGTAGTGTACTGTAATGTAGTGAAGTGTAGTGGAAGGTAGTGTAGTGTAATGTAGTGTAGTGTAGTGGAGTGTAGTGTGTAGTGTAATGTAGTGTAGTGTAGTGTAATTTAGTGTAGTGGAGTGTAGTGGAGTGTAGTGGAGTGTAGTTGTGTAGTTGTAGTTGTAGGTAGTGTAGTGGAGTGTAGTGTAATGTAGTGAAGTGTAGTGGAAGGTAGTGCAGTGTAGTGTATGCAGTGTAGGTGTGGAGTGTTAGTTAGTGTAGTGTAGTTGTAGTGTAGTGTAGTGTGCAGTGGAGTGTAGTGTGTAGTGTAGTGTAGTGTTGTGTAGTGTAGTGTAGTGGAGCGTGTAGTGTAGTGGAGTGTAGTGTAGTGTAATGTAGTGTAGTGAAGCGAAGCGACATCTGAACCTCCAAAAAGTGGTCCGAACCCTGTGTTTTTAACTTTTGACTTCGAAATGTGCTTCGCGCCACAACGGCGTGCACTTTTTCAACATCTCAACCTCCAAAAGTGGCCGAGAATGTGTGTTTTGTACATTTTGACTTCGAAATGTGCTTCGCGCCACAACGGCGTGCACTTTTTCGACATCGCAACTTCCAAAAGTGGTCCGACAATGGTGTGCTTTGTACATTTTGACTTGGAAACGCGCTTCGTGCCACAACGGCGTGCACTTTTTCGACATCTCAACTTCCAAAAGTGGTCCGAGAATGGTGTGTTTTGCGCATTTTGACTTCCAAATGTGCTTCGCGCCACAACGGCGTGCAACTTTTCATCTCTCCTCTGGCCAGATGGCTCCGCACCCGCCGCTTTAGCGAGCCTACTTTTCGACCACCCGGAGCCACAAATCATTGGAAAAACACAGTGAATCGCGATTTTCCTACCTTTTCGCGCATCTCCATCTTCTTTCTCACTCTTTCTCTTCTACTCTTTTCTCTTCTCTCTGCCTCTGCCCTGCTCTGCTTTTCATCTGTCCATATTGTCGGAAGTTTGACTTCTAAACTTCCTTCGATGATGGAATAATATTGAATATGTGTTCTAGAGTTTCTTTGCCTGAAAGCTATCCTCTTGCTCAGCTGTAGACTTTGTAGACTGTGGAGCCACATGCGCCACACGTTCAGCTTCAGCCAGACGAGTGGGCTGCACCAAGCGAAAGTCAGGTGGAAGCTCCTACAGTAAAATAAATAAAAGAAACCACATGAAACCACAACATACCACAACAAGCTGCCTGTTACTCCTGTCCCCAACATCAAGTCTGCCATCAATGACCTACTGAATGTCAACCTGCCGTGCAGATAGCAAAGTTTGGCCATTCATGTTGGATACAAACAATTTATGCATGTATATATTGTAATTATATACAATTATATTATATTACATATATATAATTTAATTAAGTACTGCATCGAACATGCTAATGAACAACAAATCCTAAGCACCAGAGTTTCTATGCGATAGTCTATGCTGTGAGAAAAAGTGCACACTATGATTCACGATGAGATGCGAAGACCCCTGCACAAATCATGCAGCGCATGTAGCAAGTCCTCCATGTGATATACACGGTCCATGAAGAAGACTCGCCTCAACCGGCAGTTGGCATGGATGGTGAGCCTCGTTGTCTCCATATAGTTGCCTCGGCTGATCTTGGGACATCTTGGGTCGCTAATACTTTGATTGTTGAAAACACACCCTAATGGACAATATGAACAAATTTGATGTGGTCTTTTCAAACCCTCAGTGCCATGAGCTAGCGAGTGAGCACAATTATATAACATCTTTAGGCACTCATTGATGGCAATTTATCAGTATGTTCAATTGCGCTAGGAAAGAATGCTATAGCTGTCTCCCGCAGCTATATATGTCTGAAATGCTTGAGACGCTGCTTTCGAAGGCTCGTTTGGTGAAGTCCTCCAAATTGAACATAACCTACCCAAGCTTTGGAGAGACATTCAAAAATGCCAAGACAAATTTCTTGGCCATATGTATGCGGGGCCCATTTCAGCCTCAATAGGTTGTGGATATAAGGACTTGACCATCAACGTTGAACAAGTGAGACTGAAGAAGTGTCTGCGAGTCAATCCGCATGTGAACCCCCCACAAAAAAGGATGGCTGGTGTAAGGTGTGCAAGGACTACACAGAGGCTCATCTCAATACCTCTAGGACAAAGCGTTGGGACCTTGGCATGAATTACCTGCATGTACAGAAAAATATCATGACAAATGCTCAGCTCAAGCACGCTCAGCTCATTCCTTCGAACTACGCAGTTCAGCTGTTTCCATTGGGCCTGGTTCCAGCCGGGCTCCAAATTTAAGGGCATGCTGCAGTTGAATGGACCGACCTGGCAGTCAATTCCAAGCGTGTCAACAAAATGAAGAAGCACAGAGTCGTTTTCCAATTCCATTTGTTTGCCCTGCACCTTGGTTCCAGTGTGAAAGTTTGAGGCCTTGAATCTTCGTCGCTGGCCTCTTATGTCCATGGACGTCTGGAATCTCTGACTCAATAACCAATGAAGCTGTGCGGTGTGTGACATGCTCTGCTCTGCCAAAATGCTTGTTGTTTTTAATTCAAAACCTGTTTCATCCTCTCGTGTGGCCTGTGTCGTCCAGCACTTCAACCTCAAAGGCAAAGTACCTAAGTTGAACATAGTCGGACAAACGAAAATGCAACAATGTATTGCCTGCATGTTATGCCACTCGGTTGTCAGCACTGCAAGGACCCTTTTTTGCAGTGCCTTTTTCAACGAATGTCCATACGCATGCCTGACCATTTCAGGCAATTTCCAGACTGCGATGCCGCGACCCAACGGGATGATAATATCCCAATTGTTGCCGGAAGCCGAGGCACCTCTTCATGTTCTTGACCAATAGCACGAGGAAAGGCAGCTTGATGCCTGCAGGGAGCAAAGCAACATTCACAGTTTGTTGTTCCTAGTCCTACACGATCAGGACCTATCACAACTGCGGGGAAAAAACCCTGAGGCTGCCTACCAGCCCAACAGCCCCGCCTAGCGTCTGGCGATCTTCTTCGGGACATGTCACGGTGGTGGTACTCACATTGTTTCCACAAATCTCAAGCGCAGCTGAACCAATATCTTCATCTGTGATGCGGCGTACATGTCCATTGCGCACCTTGGCGTAGATGTAGCAATTCTAAAGGTAGCCACTTTGATTGAAATGGAACGGCAGCAACAATTGCTCAACCCAATCCAAAGAGCCGACACATCCTCTTCATCCCAGGCGCCGAAGCGTTCCACAGGTAGAGGGGGTGCCGGCCAATCGCATAGAAAATGGAAAAAACGCCAGACTGGAACGAGTTCCGGAAGAGCACCTCAGTCAGCAACACAAACCCAACAGATTAGAGCAGAAAGCGCATGATGGACCACAACATGATCTTGGATTCAGAAGTTCATGAGGCATACATACAAGAGCCAATCATCCAGCTGTACGTGCATGGACGATCATGGACGCATGTCAAGATTACTTGGTCAAATTTTGTTGAAAGTTGGCCGAATAGATTAATATGTCAAACATATTCATGCTGCCATACGTGAAAGCACGGCCACAAATATCACAAATTAACGAGTTTCGCAGTATTTTGCACCACAAACCCTGTGCTAGCGTTCTCAAGTGTCATCCACTTCTCACAAGGCCTTCATAGGGGCAATTCATCGCTAATTGCATCTAATTATATCTATTTGCTTTCACGGAAAGCATCCAAACCTTCTAGCTGCCTTCTTCGCAACTGCATTCGTCAGTGATACATCGGTCACTAGAATGGATGAACGTCACGGCTGTGAAAGCATTCAGTATAATGTGGGCTCACAAGATCTGCTCTGCTCGCGGCTAACTTAAAATTCTACAGTATATAATTCACAAAGCTTGTCCAAATCATGCCAATCCTACGGTTTCCCAGGTCTTAACGGTTTTGCTTAGAAGTTTGAACAAACATTTTGCTCAGGACAAAGCGAACCTATGCGTCAAGTAGTACCAGTCGCCAGCAGTTGTCGCATTGCCTGTTCCGCCTGTGGCATAAACAATCAACACGATTGTTTAACTTTGCCATGCAAGCCACTGCAGGTGCATCCTTGCCCTTGGGAGGAAGCTGCAGAAATTTGGAGCTGTCCATTGGAAACCAAGGACTGTACCACGCAGGTAGCTCCAGCTATGTCAGATCTTGAGCCGACGGCAGGGGGTGCTGCTTTAGAATATCGGTCCCCCAACCGAGGCGAGGTTGACTGACTCAGTCGTCATTGCAATTCAAAAGGTCAAGCAAAACTGAAGAGCCGTCAATGGCAAAAACATCAACTGCACAGTGACCCAGTGACCACACTCCTAAGATCCCCTTAGTGCCTTAAAGGCTTCCTTCACAGGATCAAAGTTCCTTAGCGGAAGGCTTAGTGAATCAAACACAAATATCAGAAACGACTGCTTTACCATGCTTTACCTAACACTGATCCAATTTGGGACACCTGACACCTGACATCGTGAAATCGTGCGCAAGCAACCAAGGCAAGGAAATCAGTTTCAGAGATCACTTGGATAACTGCAGACCATTCGAGCAGGAACAGAAACACCATCACCCTGTGCATCTTTGAATCGTCAGCTGGTTGTCCTTCAACAAGGCAAAGAGTTCCTGAATTCAGGCAGAATCTGGCTCTCCAACCCGATGCTAGTTCGTCAGAAGAAGCATCACAACAAATCTACACTGACACTATCTTTCACAAATCCATGAACATCCATAATTAGAACACATTACAACACCCAGGAACTCCAAACCACCAAGGAATACAAACGATGTATTCACAACTGCTGACACTGTGACAGTACATGTCTGCTGGGCTGGCCGGACATCGAAAGTGATCTCCGGCTGGTTGTTCAGCAGGAACTTCACCTCCCTGGTGGTAATGTCCTGTTTAGATCATGCCAAAGACATCCCGAAACTTTGCATCTTACTTGCATCTCAGGTCTGCAGTCTCGGAGTCCAGGAGAAGCAGTAAAACTTCGGCTCAGTCACATCACACTTGAAGTCCTTGTAAAATGTCTGCAAGCGCTTTTTAATCTCTGACATTGTGAGTTTGCCTTTGCCTGGAGAAATCAACTCGAGAAATATTGCAGGCATCGAAGTCCACCCGTGACAGTCGCAAATCCATCAGACTGATCAGAAGAGTACACTATGCTTGCAAGATCCTGCAAGAGTTTTTTAAGCAGTCACAAAGCTGTTGTTCTGACTCATGCATGGCGGACACACAACCGGCGGCATTCCTAGAATGCAGCCAGGGATCCGTTGGTATCGAAAAACTCCCATGCAACCTTTGAGTGCTATGGCGCTGTGCAGGAGTGGTCAGAGGATTTGAGTGGTATAGTTACAGTATGGATCAGTATGATCAGTACGGTACAAATGACATCAAATGACTGTGAAATGTTCGCTGACGTGACGACTGTACAGTATGTCCTCCCCAAGGCCTTGAGCTCATCCTCTGTAATCAAAATACCGCCCTTCCTGGCAGCATCTGGCAGCTGCGGAAAGGGCATCGCATGCACAGTCTCCGGGATACTGGGATACTAGACTTCAAGATGGCATGAAGTAGGACTGCTGAGGATAGGCCATATGTTATTCAGCATGCCAAAGCAGGCCCTTGTCAAACGCAACACACACAGAAAACACAGACACACGTGCAGCATGTTTTTTCTTCGCTGTTCCTCCTTGAACAAGTCGTTTCACAAATAAATCAGGTCTGGCAGACTCATTTCGAGGCAAGGGCAGCGCAAGGTCCTGTCGTGTGAGCAGTCTTGGGGATCAACGTGTCTTGTGTAGGTCTTATAGAATGATGTCTTGCGGCATCTTATGGCCTTATGCAAACTTATGCATATGCCAATCCCGGAAATGATTTTCTGGAGCAAACAGCGCCGTGGTCAAGGAAAGTTGATACGATTGAACAGCATGTGGAGGCCCATGCTTTATCGGATCTCTATGGGCCACTTCCCATGCGTCCAAGGTAGATTCACTAGAAACAATATGAATAATGTTTATACATGTTTATAGACTATATTGAATTTGCGTCTGAGCATGTCTGAGCATTCAAAGATATTCAAAGCCCAGCTGTATCGGATCTTTGTCATGCCCACACATTCTCAAAATGCCTTCCCATTGTGGAACCGGCACCAACAACTTTTGGGGGAGTGCCAGGCACTTCCAACATATTCCGACTATGCCACTCGACAAAGGTCATAGGATGCCATAGTCAATCATCAGTCACGCAAGGTGATAAACAGCAGAACGTTGCGTTATGTTGCCTCCCATCTGTCTTACAGCCATGCCATGAACACGCACAGCGACGCACAGCGACGCACAGTGACAGGTCAGAATCAACACCAGTCACATGCCTTGAGTTCAGTGGGTCGCTTGGCCCTCTCCCTGACAGCAGCGACAGGAAGAAGTCGGAAGATGGGCTTCTCGTCCCGCTATGAACTTTGAAGCCGAAGGCAAACATACAGATACAATATGAATCAATATCATACAATCAGCGAACACCTGCACCCTTTCCTTCTACTCTGCAGTTCGATGGGTAATACAAATTATCAACTCCCAACATGTGCAGGGCTATCCAAAACAGGCATCCAATTTAACAAAACACACTCAAGTGATATCAAATGATGAACAGCTTTACCTCCAAGTGGGTATCACAGGCATACGCCAAGACAAGACTAGGAAAAGCGTCAAGCTTTCAGAACATCGAGGGAACTATGCCCTATAGCTCAAAGTGACACTACCAATAGTAAGCATAAGATGCTACAACTGGCACAATCACTGTTGCATACGGTTGCCACAAAACTTTCTTCATTGCGTCATACCAATTTCCCAGAAGTCGAACTCAACTCAGAAATCTGGATACGCTGTTCTGAGGCACCCGGCCCCATGGATGTCGATGAGCCGCTGTGCTGGGGTCCCGCTTGAGGCTAACAATCAAACGATATCAAAACACACTTCAATTGAAGATGAAGATGGTTTGAGGATGTTTGATGAAGTTTGATTGACTTGAAACAATCACAGCTCCTCCGTTTTGGTTTTGAGCTCAGATTGGATACCTGGGCCCTAGCCGAGTTTTGAAGTCTACAAAAGTGGCTCTGAGCTGGCTCTGACACATAGTGATGTGACCTTGGGCGATGCTGTCACCCAAGACATAACTATATAGTATAAAGCATCATCTAGAGGCCACGGGCAACCCTCAGAGAATTCCACGAACATTCCTCAAGCAAATCCATGCAAATCCTCTTTTCCGGTGCTAGCTGGGTTTGCAAGGAAAAACCAAGCTGCTCCCCAAAGAGTCACATTTCCCCTTGACCTTTTTTCCCCACGCTTCCAGTTGTTCCAGTTGGGGCGGCACCAGCACTGCCATTGAACAGACTCCTCTCGGTGCGGCTGGGTGACTGCTCCGAAGTGTGGAATGGGTAAGCAGAATCTGGGATTGGAAACTTGCGTTTTACCACGAACTGATAGGGGATAAACAACTACGTACAATGTTAAGTTGAACGTGTGCACAAACGGAACAAAGCAACACGGCGACCATATAACTCAACAGCAACGCCGGCATTGCTTGAGCTGAGGGCAACTGACAAAGAGTCTGAGTCATGCAAAAACAGTGCGTGCAACACATAGATCCTCGAAGACTTCATCTTCGATGTGATCGAACGCATTTCGTCTGCTATCCTCCAGGGCCGTGCTTTGATGTGCTTGGGTCAAGCACTTGCCCCACTGCTGGAACAGAGCAATGGCACAGCTGCAAGAAAGCGACACAGTCAGAGGGGCCTGTGCAGCAGCCCAGGGGTGCAAATTGCTGATGTGCTGTCCATGTTGGACAGAATGCTCTGGTAGGAATAGCTAAACCTGGCTAAACCGCGACTCACTGAGCACCAAACAACAGGCCTAAAGGATTGGATTTGGACGGGTCATGTCTGTTCTCATACAATCACCAGCAAGGAATAGTACAACCTGATTCCTGCACCCCCACCTTACTGCAATTTGTTGAAGTCAAACTACGGACGCAGCCATGCTCTAAAATCCTGGGAAAGTACTAATATACTGAACATACCCTGCGGCAAATGTTAGCCACCTGTGGCTGGTGGGGACGGATGCCAATCCAAGACTTTTCTTTCGGCTTGAAAGCACTTTGGGATTTGATTTGAAGCCTTATTTTCATATATTGTTTCTTCGAAGGTTTCTTCCAAGTTCCCCCAAGTCTCAAAATTCACAACGCCATAAGTGCAACCCAAGGTCGGTTTCATTGGAGACATCTCCTCCAGTATCCACAGGCCATAGTTCCATGGAGCCATTGTTATCAAAGTGCCATAACCTTTTGTGGAAGCTGGCCATGCGTGGCTGAACCAGGAGGAAATCTAGAATTGTTAACAAACAGCCGAACAGTTCATCAAAATGCCTTTTGAGTGTCACGTGTAGGTCTCATATTGCTCAAACATGTTCAGAATAATAGGGACATGCATGCATATAACTGCATAATACTGCATATATATGATTTAGAATTTAAACTAAGCGAAACACCATGCAAACGAAATAATATGTATACCATCAAACGTAGCAAAAGCTCGGGGCTGTGGCCTGCTTCATCTCTTGGAGCAATCTCAAGGCCAACACGCCACATCCTCAAGAAGTCTTATTGGGGTTGAATATGGTTGAACCACTTGTTGCGGACCCTTTGGGTAAGGATGGCAAGGTAAGCTCAGATACAACACCAATGTGAAAGCAATTGCAGCCCTGAAAAGGAAATTAGCTTGTTAAAGTCAACACAACGACGCTGTAGCATCCCCCTCAGTACGCTCAATTTCTCCACTGAAACAGGATTTACTCAAGTAAGACATTTCAAGAGTCACATCGTGCCATTTATTGCCATTTCCTCGAAAAGCTAGCCGCCCCAAGCAGCCTATTACGACATGCCCATCTGAAACCGCGCTCCCCCACCACAGCATCACTGGCAGCAATGCCAAGGTTCAAAGCTTTGGCACATGCACTGAGCACTGCATTTTGTCCGTCCTGATCAGGAGGAGGATCCCGGCAATGTAGCAGCTCCATGGATTGACGCCAAGAACTTCCTAGATCCTAAGTGGCCACACATGTTGGGTCGCCAAATACTGGGCAAAGCAAGCATGGGGGTCCGAGACTTTAGATCAGTTCAATATCTGGACCAGGTCTAACAAAACTTTGAACCTGTCAGACTGAGACTGAGATACTTGTTATTGTCATGTTTTTCCCTGATCTTCAAGATTCCAAAGGTAGGTTCATAATCATGCTGTTCAAGCCACGCAGGCAGTGAGGAGGCTATTCATGGTGATGTTTGTTGGTTCGATTCCGCCCAGCACGAACTGACTGAAAAGGCCTTGGATAAAACAAGGTCAAGGTCCCGACGGTCTGCAATCCGAGACTGGAAGGCACTCCAACATTGCAGGACCAAAAACATTACTGAAACCTTCATCCCAAACATATCCCAAAGTCAGCGGGGTGTCACGGTGTCACACCTCAAAGTCCCACCACCAAGGCACACACAGCCTCAGCCCATTTCTTGCTCTGGCGACAGGACATGATGGCTCCGTTCAATGTAATCGCGTCAGCAAGTCGACAACAGTGTACTGCCTGTGCAACGTATGCAACGTGTGCAACATGCAGCTTGTTACGTCCGAGCCAGCCCGTTCCTTCAGTGTGCATGCAAAACCCAGGCATGTACTGTAGTGCGGAAGACTTCCAATGGTAGCCACCAGAAACATTTTTTAAATTCTGAAGTGCGGACACGCAAGCACCCAAGGTGTGCAATCAGCACCCCGCTTCTAATAATACTAGGTTTATACCAGCTCATCCTTGTGGAAGCCCATGAAATGCCTAAGGCATTGCATGCTACATCAGCGAAACTAACCGCTTAATCCTGATTCAATACTGATTCAATCAGAATCCCAGAACATGCATATTAAAGTTGCTCCAATTGATTATGCACACATGGCTGCATTTTTGTCCGCCCTCCCATTCCAGCCTGAAGTGTGAAAACGGCATGTTGCCATCTTGCTCCCTTTTCAAGCGCGCTTACCTCGATTTGCACTGTTTCAAATCGTTTTCCACACACTGCATTTGCATTTTTGCACGCGCAGTTTCTCGACTGCAAGTTCACACGCGCACGCATATATAATCAAAGGAAGTCTAGTGTAGATAATCAACTCCTGCATGTCGGACATGTACAATGGACAACTTTCACTCGCCAACTTAACCGATCAGCATGTCGTTACTGATCTATGTTACTCACTAGCTACACGGGCAGTTGGTGCCGTGGATCTGGGGAGACGGGCTGAGATTTGAATCCGAATAGCGTGGGGGCTGATTTGTTGCAGCCACCGTGTTATCGGGCGATGCAATGACAGGTTTCTAGTTGCAACAGCTGAACAAAGGATGCTTTATGGGACTGCTACTTGTGATTACTGTGTTTTTTTTGTGTGAAATACACTGCAGGCTTGCTGAGGGCGGTGTCATAGTGTGTATATATATATATCGAATGTATACAATATAATATACATACAATATAATCATATACAGTAGATATAGCTCTCTATATATTAGATATATAATATACACAATTCAATTATGATATAACAAAATATAAGTAACAACATAAAAATATACAACATTCTACAACCATATAATAATATATAAATCTTAATGTATATTGTAGCTCAAAGAACCTCAACCAGAGCCCGCTCAGAGAAGATGCAGCTCACATGTTCGCTCAGAAGAGCTTGGAGTAGAGGCATCGCCAGGACGGGGTAAAGAGAAAGGAGAAGAAGAGATACCTGAGGAGAGAGAAAGCTCACAGAAGAAGCCAACCAAAGAATAAGAAACTGAGAAGAAAGAGAGATGCGAGAAGAAAAGAATATATTTTCGGAGAAGAGGAGAGAGATAATTCAGAGAAGGGTGGCTTCAAAGAAGAGGCAGTGTGGAGAAGGGCTAGCTACAAGAAAATGGCTGATGGGAGAGATAGCCCAAACAAGCGGTAGTGGAAGTGATGTCTTGTAACAAACAGAGGTAGCTCATAGAAAGGGTTGCTCCAAGAAGAAATATCTCATGCTAGGGCTGCTAGGGATATATGTATGCAGGTGAAAGAAGCAGAGGTGGTAGCGGAAAAAAGAAGTAGCTCAAAGAGGAAAATATCTTAGAAATTCTTAGGGCAGATACGGTTTCAAAGGCGACATTGAGGAGAGGGGTAGGTCAACAAATCAGTCCATCAGTCTTCTTATTCAATCGGTTAGTCATTCTTCAATGATTCAACAATGCAGTCTTGCGATTAGTTGCACCTTTGCCATTCAGTAATTTAGTCCGCGCGCCAAATTAGCCTGCCAGCATCTGACAGCCTTTCAGTCAATCAATCAAACACCCACGTCAATCAGTGACCATTCCCAAACAGATTTGATTTCCTATAGCCACTCCGTGTTTTTGAAGGTGCTGCTTCAGGCCGCACTGCATCATGGTTCACTATATGTTCACATATGATTTAGTACGAAATTATGGCGTTGACACAGTGCTTGTACCTTCATTGGTTGGGATATCCAGATATATCTAGCTTGTGAGGGAAATTCGATGCATCTCAAATAAGCCAGGAACTTCACGAGTACAAGACATGCCAAACAATTGACGAGTTACACACGCGTTAAATATAGTAAGGTTCACTTTGCTGCGAATGCGCCTGGGCGAAGGGTTGGGGGTAAGGCAGCTGCTGCCCTGATGGCCCTGGGTTTATAATGTTTATATCTCCTCCAATGATCTCCACTGGGCGCCTCAGGAGCTTGGTCCCCAGTTCCCACATGGCACTTTGGGCAAAGGAATTCATGAGGGCACCGTGTGTATAGGCCTCGGATGGGGCGCATGAGTTGGTCTGGCTTTGGGACCCCATTGCACCACAGCACCATTGACTGCCACTACTAGCGGTTACTAGCGCAGGTTTTGGCCTGGACAAGCTGCATTGCTTGTCAATGTCCGGTGTCGAAATATTTGTAGAAGCTCTAAGGATTCACTCCATCCACACACCGACGAGCTTAAGGTCGTCAGGTCTGGTCCTGGGTTGATGAGGCAATTGCCCACAAACTGGGTCATGACTCCACAAGGATGACGAGGGATTGCTGTAAAAACATGGCTCGCATGAAAATTGCAAGGCATAGTGGCACAGGTTCGAAGAAACTTTATCTTTGCCATTCTTGCAAAACCCCCAAAACATCTGATGCGGAGTCCGAGATTCGCATGTGCGATTCGATGCCAGTCTGCAAGACCTTGCTGCACCACACATGTGTGGGTTTTACACCTATAGGGCCTGGGCTGCGGCTTGTCTCTTGATATTTCCAAGCTTGAAGGCGTCTGACAAAAAGATACAAAAAGTATTTCTCGCTTGCTTTTCTGCCCCCGACAGACAGAGCCGCGACGGTCTTGTTGGTTTATGAAAATGTTCCCAAAAATGTATCGAACATATATAATGGGAGGTATCCCTCGAGGCCTGCAAGCATCTTCGCCATCGTGCCGTCTTTGACAAAGCATTTATCGCAGTGTTGCCTCTTCGCTGTGTGACGGTGTTTTGGAACAGAATCACGCCAACACATTGCCATCTATGGTAGGCTGCAAGTCAACGGCGAACTCTAAGAGTAAGTATGAAAGGATATGACATGAAAAAGGATAAGTTACAGTAACTACAGGCAGCGGATGATGGCCGTACTGTAGGTGTGGATAGTTCCGTCATGTTGTACAGGAGTACTACCTGGTGCTACCGCTGCAGGTGCAAACATCGCAAACCAACAAAATGGAGGTTGCTGCGCCAAGAGTAGGTTATTAGTTCCCGCCAACGAAATGTACAATTCCAGTATTCCTTATCCTATTACAGCCAGTCACAAGTCACACCCGAACATCACGCGTGCCCAAGCCACACAAAACAATACTCGGCTCGAGATCATACTTGCCCAAGAACCGCCAGAAGCTTAAGGCAATGGTCCTTGGTTCCAAGCCGACAAACGTGAAAATCAACAGCTCGTTCCAGGGTTCACTGCCATTAACTTCAGGTCAGTTTGCATGCAAAGCCCCAGATGCGCAACCACCCTTGCGGCTGCATGTCTCCTTCCCTTGCGTTTGTCTTAGCCTTTTCATTTTTTCTTTGCGATGTGCAACACTATAAGAATATATAAAAATGTATTCTCCTTCAGGGCAAGAAATGGTGAGGTTACTAACAGATTGTTCGTTTCGGATGAGTTGGCCGAGTTGGCTACTGCCCATTTCGGGGCTTTGGGGTGTACCCATTTTGAGACCCAAATGGTCACCTGGGTCTGAACATATGGTACCCGAAAAGAAATAGCACTCCTGGCAACAACATCCCAGCAACATCTTTGTCAGCCAAAGCCACCATTGATCACTGCTGGCTGCTTGATGGCTTGTAGCACCAAACGCCACCAATTCGCGGCGCAAGTGCATAGGATGGAAAAGCGTCAGCAAGTCCTCACACTTTAGGAAGCTGCCCCTGCTAGGCAATCTTGGGATCCGCTAAGAATGGGAATCCACTTTGCTCACGGTAGCACGTTTGCATGGAAAAGGATCATAGCGGCCATCATATCAGAAGTCAGGATCAATACAGAATAGAATGAACAATGAACACATGAGTGATAAACATATTTTATGTTAATATAAATATATATTGTATAAACACAAATATGTACAGGTACAAAATGATACAATATGTATGTGCATATATGAATCTCACATAGATAATGTTTTATTGAATATGATTCTATCAATATGTGAGCTACCTCCAAAACTCTATTGCCCCAAAATGGAATATCTATATAGTTTTCCTTCGTTTTAAAGGGCCACCTTCGTTTTACAAGGGTTTCGACCAAACCTTCACAAGTATACGTGCGGTATCGCGCAGTCATCGTTTCGAGCTAATGGCAGCAGCAATGGCAAAAATTGTAAAAATAGTGCCAGGATGTGCCAGGATTAGTACTGTGACTCGTAGAAGCGACAAGGTGCTAAAGAAGCAACAGTGGCAGCGCAAGCGGCAGCAGTAGGAGCAGTAGCAGTGGAGTAGCAGTAGCAGTGGCAGTGCAGTGGCAGCAGCAGCAGTAGCAGCAGCAGTAGCAGCAGCAGTGGCAGCAGCAAGTGACAGCAGCGACAGCAAGTCACAGCAGCAGCTACCAGCACCAGCACCAGCACCAGCACCAGCAGCAGCATCAGCATCAGCAGCAGCTGCATCAGCAGCAGCTGCATCAGCAGCAGCAATCGCGGTGATGCTGGTGCTGTTGGTGCTTTGCTGGTGCTGGTAAGACAAATGCCTGCAGCAAAAGCACAAGCAGTGGCAATGGTAGTTGTCGCAGTAGTGGCAGGATGAGGAGGAAGGTTTGCCAGCTCCTAGCCAGGTTCATGCCAAGCTGCTTGTCGTGAATTTTGCCTTCGTTTTTGCCTTCGTTTTGGCTTCGTTCTAGAACGCAAGACCAGACGGGAAAAGGAAACCGCCGGATGAAAAGAATACTTGCAGGCGGAAAGCAAAAACTTGACAAAATGTAAATGCAGCAGGAGGAAAAACAAGATAGGAAAAGAAAAACCGGGATCAACAGAAAGAAACGAAGGCGGAAAGGAAGCCAACAGAAACTGTCACAGGAAAGGCATGGAAGCAAGAAAGGAAACAAAAGGAAGACAAGGGAAAACAGGTAAAGACCAAACGACAATAACTCCATGATACACCATTCTTGACGCTCTCAAATGGAAATCTATCAACAAACTTTAGTTGTAAGGTTTGCCTTTGTTTTAAAAGATCGCTTTCGCTTTTGCAGGTTTTGAGCTATATTCCATTCCAATACACATCCCTTACATAGACCTTTTTGGTGGTAGCCAATGTGAATATAATTAATATATATTAATATGTACATGTGAAAAATGTAGATACAAATAAGTAATATTGACAATGTCTGTGATATATATCATAATACACAGCGTGCATTATATACAGTAACAATGTATATATAATAAATATAAATATATATATACACATAATATATATATATATATACACGTAAAAACATATCTATATACATGTACACGCCCCAGATTTCCCGAAGCGCTCCATCCCTTGTTGCCAGCGTGCACCAGAAGCACAGCCACTCCGAAGGGAGCGTGCAGTCCAGTCCACTCCACATTGCCGAGTCCATGTCACATGATACAATCTCGGCAACGCAGCTGGGCTATAGAACCAACTTGAAACAACACCACATAAAACAACATGGACCCACCCGTTGAAACCGGGCATGAAGATCCAACAACGAAGATTATTGGCGCAAGTGTGAGCTACCAGAAAGCGGAGTACAAAGCACACCTCATGGCTGACCATTTCCAAAATATCGTTTGAAAAACATATTGCCTCTTGATATCTTTTGGTATCTGGTAGCTGGGGCAATCCGGCGCAATTCACGGAATCTGGGGCACTGGCGAGAGTTCCCATTCTTTGCTGACTTTGGCAAGGGCATTGAAAACAGCAGCATCCAAGCGCACGTGCCAGCGAGCTGCCTAGCAGAGCTGACTACATACACTGGTCTTTTGATCCACATGGGCCTGCTCTTAGTCCACGTTTAAAATCTCAAATTTCAAAGAATGTCTACATCCCAGTGCGGTTGATGATGCTGAATTTTCTCTTCGGCAGGTCTTCCACTGCCATCTGCCGTATGGCTTGGCAATCAAAAAGGCGCAGAAAAGCTTCGTCCAAATCCCCCAGAACTTGATTCCTGGATATTCCTGGCATTTCCTGGCCACACCTCCTCCAGAAATTCCAGTGCAGAAAACCAATCAGCACTTGCTGCGATTGCGGAGACCAATTTGCGGAGTCCTGCCAGGCGCCGCTTGAGCTCAAACCAAGTGAGTGGCCCTAGCTATTTAACTGATGTCAATATCTCCGCGGATCTTGGCCTCTTGGCCGTTGCTTTTTGCAACATCAAGACATTATTCATGGAAATATATACAACTTGTATCAACTTGGAGGGGGAGCGCATTTTCATGTCATACAATGTTACAATGACATGTTGAAGGAGATGAATCGGCAGGCATGGGAGCTTGTTACAAAGTGGATTCTGCACCTTTAACTGTAACTACACTAATCAGAGCGTACCAAATTCGAGCATGATATGTGCCAAATTCTCTCCATGGACAAAGAGCTGTGGCCAGTCGCTTGCTTCACAGTCGAGCCCTGAACCCACGTCCTGACATTTGCGTTGCTCCATGCCATGGTGACCCAGCCACATCTTGTGGCCAGAGAGTAGCTGCTATGCTATGCCACCAGGGAAGGCATCGCCATGGTCACGTCACAGGTCTGGATTAAAAGGACTCTGTTTGTCCAAGTGCTTGCCGCAGTTGCTCCATGCTAGCTGACGATGCAAAAAAAAAAACAACACCTGGGTGAATCTTTGCCAATCGCTGACTCTTTGCAGAGCAACCAGCCAGCAAAGAGCATCAGACATTTTAGTTAAGGTACAGTCAGAATCTGCAACGATCCTCCGGGGCAACAAGAGATAACAAGAGTCTAGCAAATAAAACCCTTGATCCCGGATACAATGTATCATCCGTAAGGGAGGAGCAAGTGAAAAAGTCTCGAACTGAGCTGGCTTCAGAGTGATCGTCTTTGAGCAATGAGAAAATCTACTGCAGTCGGCAGCAATCTACAGCTGGATGATGAAGCACGGAATTCTTCAATGTTACAATTAAAACATGTACCAACGATGCCAATGATCTGTTTCTGTCCGGCTGCACCGGGGAACATGAATATTGGTGCAGTGATTCAGAGTGATTCAGATTTCAGCCTGATCAAACATAAGTCAAGCTCGCTCTGCTGCCGTATTTCTTGCGGCATTAGCGCCGCAACCTTTTTGCACACGCGAGTTCGTCATTGGCAAAGATCCGCTGCACCCAGTGGCCAAAGCAACACGTCTTGACAAGCAAACAACCACATAGAATTAGTATGAACCACTAGGCTCAGCAAAAGAATGTGCAAGATCAGCGCGGGCGGATTGCAATCGCAAGCATCCTCTCAGGAGTGGTGAGCACCCTGCGTGATGTTTGCCTGGGAAAACGTTTTTTGTTCATCTCCTTTCAGCAGTCATGCCTGCATTGTACAAATCAGGGCCGCAAATCTTCCAACAACTTGTTTCAAAAATTGCTCACGTCTCCAAACACGACACCGTCCAAACAAGAGCGTCTTCTACAAAACGATAGGCAAATTTGACAATTGTCAGCAGGACAGGAATTACCAAAAGTATCCCAAAGTTACCAAATTCAGCCTCGCAGGGTTTCAAGTCTTTCCGCTTGTAGAGTGAACACAATTATATAACAGTAAATTAACCAAGTCATACCAAGTCTGGGAAACACATCGGTTGTCATCAAGCATCAAAGTGGCCAGGCCTGGACAACAGGTCTATCTCTGCATGGGGAATGGTGGGCTTTGGCAGGGGTAGGCTGCTGTCGTGGCCCCGGGCATTGTGACCTGAACCTGCCAATGGGCCAACCACGGGAACGTTGAGTCACAACAATAAGAATAGCTGTAAGCACCAAATGTCGCTTGCCATTCTTCCCAGGATTTGTTAAAAAAAACAAAAACTATTGCAGCAACATATGAAAAAAATGCCGAAATGGGTCAAAGTGTCAAAATGGTGCAAAGCAATATTCTGGACGCATGATCATGCCTTCGGCATCCCACACATGGAAGAAAATTACATCAGCACAATTGCACTTCGAATTGTAGGGGTGCAGAAGAAAATGCGTTGCCTGGCAAGGATGGATTTGAGGCGGCCGTATGCATGGCACTGATGGTTGTTGCAACTGCGGTTGTTGCAACTGCGGCTGCTGCAACTGCGGCTGCTGTAATTGTGGCTGCTGCAGTTGCGGCTGCTGCAACTGCGGTTGTTGGAGCTGTGGTTGCTGCAGTTGTGGTTGCTGTAGCTGCGTTTGTTGCAGTTGCGGTTGCTGCAGCTTTGGGGAGATTGGAGCGCCTGATGCAAATGCTTCTGGCCATGAAACCGGTCAAAGCCTTTCTTCTGAGTTGAATGCTTGATTTATCTTGATTCACAAATTGTCCACATGATCTTCTCACAGTGACTTGCAATGTGTTGATGCTGCAGTGCCGGCCCTTATATTTCGTTGCTTCGTCCAAACATCTATATACGGATTCCACGAGTCAACTGTCAGGTACTGACTGTTAGCACCCTTCAAGCAATTATCCGGCTCCTTGCATGGAGGGAAACATAGAACAACTTGCCTGCCACATGCCCTCCCGCTACTGTTGAGAGCTGCAGTTGCGCAGGTGCCCCTGCAACTGCCTGACAGCAGAACATTTCCATGCAGAATTGCCGACGGGAAACTCAGCTCCCGATTTGAGCTTAACTCTGAACACCAAAATCTCTGGTTGGTTGCTGATGTTATGCGTGATACACGACGATTCCGTCACTTGCACAAACTCGCGCCTGGGGGATCCAGAAGCCTCCATGCGGAGGACTACGGCTTGGCACCTCAAACGCTGACCACGTCTGACCATGCCTAGTTTTAGTGCAAGGTCACGAGCCAACCATGGTTTGTCGGGCATCGTAGAACCTAGAAACTGTGCAACTTGAATCCTCCCTCTGAATTCCTGTCGGGCTCTCCCCATTTCCCCGAGAAAACTTTGAGGATGATGAGGACATGTCACGATAACCTGACAGTTGTCCCAGGAGATGAATGATTTCAATTTCAACTGCAGCCCGGCTGGAAGTTTCCTTTTTCTTGTGCGCAGTCTGGCTGCCAAGAAATGTTCCAGCCAATCTGGCTAGATGGTCAAAAATCTGTATTTTTTACGTTTTTTATATATACATAGGCATTTATGAGAATCCAAGGCGGCACGCAAAAACATGTTCAAACATTGCGGGTCATAAGACAGAAAATTGGCGTAGTGAAACAGTTGTTGTTGGCGGTTCACCTTGGTCTTGGGGGCTGGCCACAGGCCAGTGGAGAGCCCCAGCGAGAAGATGACCTTCCCTGGAAGGTTCAACGTTTCCCCTCCGGAAGGGCGAAGACAAAATCGTCAAAAGCATTTTGGGCACAGTTTTTGTCGAAGATTTCTGATTGATTTTGGCACCCACCCACGGGCTCAGAATTCTCTGAGCTGCCGGCCCCACCTCATTTCAGGATGGAGGGGCTGGGAAGTGAGGCCTGCAAAAACGGGAGCAGCGCACTTCCACAGTGTATGCTACCCAACTGCAGGTTAGACTCATTAAATCGAAGGAAATTTAGAAGTCAAACTTCCGACAATATGACAAAGGAAAAGCAGAGGTGGGAAAAGTCAGAGAGGATAAGAGAAGAAAAAAAAATCAGAGAAGAGAAATAATCAGAAGAGAGAAAAGGCAGGCGCGCGAAAAGGGAGAAAAGTCGCACAACACCGTGTTTTTCTCATGTTTTGGGGCTCCGGAGGGTTGAAAAGTAGGCTTGCTAAAGCGGCAGGTGCGGAGCCATCTGGTCAGATGAGCGATGAAAAATTGCACGCCGTGGTGGCTCGAAGCAGATCTCGAAGTCAAAATGCCAAAAACCGCGGTCTTGGAGCACTCTTAGACGTTGAAATAATGAAAAACTGCACGGCGCTGTTGCTTGAAACACATTTCGAAATCAAAGTCGTAAAAACACCAAATGCTCGGCACACCTTTGGCAGCTGAGATGTTGAAAAAGTGCACGCAGTTGTCGCGTGAAGCACATTTCCATCATTTCCACGTCAAAACGAGCAAAACACATCACCACAACAGCACTTTTGGCCGTTGAGGCGTTGAAAACGTGCAAGCAGATGTGGCGCGAACCACGTTTCCAAGTCAAAACGTGCAAAGCACACAATGCTCTGGAACACTTTTGGACCTTGAGATGTTGAAAAAGTGCAGACTATTCTGGCGCGAAGGACATGTCCAAGTCAAAATGTACAAAGCACCTCAGCTCCAGAGCGTTTTGGACATTCACGTCTCGAAAAAATGCACGCTGTTATGGCGCGAAGCATATTTCGAAGTCAAAAGGCCCAAAGAAAACACACCACGTTCGGACCACTTTTGGATGTTGAGAAGTTGGAAGCGTGCACGCCGTTGTGGCCCGAAGCACATGTGGAAGTCAAAGTGTGAAAAGCACCCCATGTTAGGACCACTTTTGGATGTGCAACCGCACCACACTACACTACACTACACTACTTTACATTACAACTACAACAGCCGCAGCTACAACTATTCCAACAAAAACAACAACATTACATCACACCACAGCAGCAACAACAACAACAACAACTACTACTACTACTACTACAATTACTACTACTACTACTGCTACTGCTACTGCTACTGCTACTGCTACTGCTACTGCTACTGCTACTACATGCTACTACATGCTACTACATGCTACTACATGCTACTACATGCTACTACATGCTACTACATGCTACTACTACTACTACTGCTACTACTGCTACTATTGCTACTAATGCTACTACTGATACTATTGCTACTAATGCTACTACTGCTGCTACTGCTACTACTGCTACTACTGCTACTGCTGCTACTACTGCTACTGCTATTACTACCCTACTACTAGTGCTACTACTGCTACTGCTGCTACTACTGCTACTGTTACTACTACTACACTAGTACTACTGCTACTACGACGACTACTACTACTGCTACTACTACTACTACTGCTACTACTGCTTCTGCTACTACTTCTACTTCTACTTCTACTCTATACTTCTACTACTATTGCTACTGCTGCTACTGCTGCTACTACTACTACTACAATAACCATAACAACAGCAACTACGACTACACTACAGCTACAACAACTGCTACGATCTACAACTACACCTACAGCTACAGCTACAACAGCAAACACACTACATCTACAACTGCAACTACTGAAACTAGAGCTACAACTATATACTACAATTACAACTGCTACAACAACAATGAGAGTTGCAGCTACAGCTACAACTGCAACTGCCACTACACTGCGCACAGCTACAACTACAAGTACAAACACAACAACGACCACAACTACAACTGCACCTACCAGTACCAGTTCCACTACCACTACACTACACTACCGCCATCACCACCACCACACAACTACAACTACAACTGCAACTGCTACTGCAACTACAACTCAGCAACGCTACACTACAACTACAACTACCACTACAGCTGCAGCTAGACTACACTACACTACGTGACAACTGCAACTACACTACGCTACACCAAACTACATCCAGCAGTTGTGGGTGAGGTGACCGCTGCAACCAATCCACAAAGCACAGCTCCAATCATCTTTCGGTCCATCAGTAGATTCGCTCTGCCATCCATGCATCACAACAACTCACCCCTCCTACACTTTCCTATCTTTGAAACTTCCCCCACCGCCTGGTGCGGTACTATTGCCAGTAGACTATAATCCTCTGTAGGCACTCACTGTTCAAAGGACAGCATGCAGGCTGTTGGTATGTTTCAAAATGTTTTAGTTTAATGCTGTAGCCCTATATCGTGCAACCATGTCTGTTCCCAGACTTGTCTACAAAGTGAAAGGGTCGAACGCAGTGGCGGCGACCAAACTGTCGAGTCGTGCAATCCTGCCTCCGGCAGGCTGATTGAATTAACGGCAGCAAACCTAGAAATAGGATAGCACATCATAAGACAAACCGGTCCGACAAATTAAGTCTTCATACATAAGCAAAATATAATCGGAACAAACAGTTTAACGGTTGATTTTTGGAGGAAAAGTGCTATACCGTATACCCAATGGAATGCGCCATGAGGTGAAACAAATACGCTTCATCTATTTGAATCCTGTGGCATCTATCTTGACAGATGATTGAGTGCTCGATGCCAAGTTTGAGCATCATTTACGGAAACTCTTTCTGCAGCACATACAGAAGCCACCGTTCATGAGCCATAAGAAGAGGATCGAGACAGCTGCCCAAATAGAAGCAGTGAGTAGGCTATTCCGATATGCCTCAGACCGGTCCAGGCATGATCCAACCCACAAGGAACACACATTCCAGGCATGTCCGAAGGCGTGTCACTAAGAACATGAAAAACCATAGCCTTGGCACCCTTCAAGGCCCTGAACCACAAAGGGAGTGCTAACACAATGTCTGTGGCAAAGCAGAAATGAAAGCCACAAGACTAAGACAAACCACCACAATCATATTAATTAATCACATATTTAAAATTTGTACAAATATATATATATATACATATATGCATATTAAAACTTATCACTACACTACAGATTGCCGGCGAGAAGCCCTGTTACCAAGCTGTAGTCCGCAGAATGCAGTAACTGCCATCACTGCGAAAATAAAAATTGTTTGGAGAATGTCCAGTCCTCGCAGCAACTTAAGGCGACAAAAAAGGTACTGATCTGGTGGGGCTGCTGCCAACATCCTGGAAACACACCATGTCTATCTTCCGGAAGGACAAATAAGAAGAGATTGGAGGGCAACATTGCAGATGCCAACCCCCGTTGGTAAGACTATGGGCCCGTCACTGTGGTCAAAAAAAGTGAACCACATCAAACCACACAGAAATGCTGAATTACAATGAATCAACAACACAAACTCAATAAACTGAACCCCCCGACGAATAGCAGCCACGATATGTCATGACGAATTAGAGCGGCGCTTTGTCGGTCCATGCTGTTGTTTGGCAGCCGAACAGTCTCTCTAGCACACTTCCTCCAGGTATTCCTCACCCCCCAGCATGACAAAACCCAAACATGATAGAACAGAAGAGAGGAGAATATGGAAACACAAAAGAAAGGAGAAAGCAATCGACCGGAGCAAGCACTGACCACGATCAAAACCTGGTTGAATCCTGCATACCCGATAATCGACGAAATTTGATCACTCGGATGCCAAAACTCTAAATAATACCATATAATGCTGCTTCTTCTTCCGGATTTTACCGCATATATTTTAGTCTGTCAAGGATGTTTGAAGTGTTGCCCTCTTCCTCCGGCTCTTCGATCCTCCAGGTGTTCTTTCAATCGAAGATTTTTGAATTTCAATATGTTCCAAAGCCTTACTCGTCAAAAACGCAAACTACAAATCACTAGAGGAACTTCAACCTGAATGAAATCATGTCGATGTCGATCTACATCTCAACGCACTGCTCGCAAATGAATTAGTACGCATTCTTCCCCGACGAGTCCGACCGAGTCCAGCATGCAATTGCTTAATACCACATTTGCGAATTGATTCAATAATAATATTCAATAGTTGTATGCCGCTGTATACCCGTTCCTGAAGAATCTTGTTGGTTCGAGTAAAAGTAAGGTTTTGCGTCGATGGAAAGGTTGATTCAGCACATTTCCAGGCTCTGGCCCACTAGTACGCGCGTGCTGATTGCCCCGGCCAAGACACTAGGCACCAAAGGTCGGGCCAAGCGGTCACAAAGGAAGAGTGCAAACTGCACCATTGCAGCCAGCCAGCAAAGCCAAAATCCCACCAGGCCCCCAAGGAAGTAGGACGCCGAGATGTGTATCGGCGCGTTTGTCTTCAACAAGCCCGTGAAGGTGCTAATGCCAACCTGATTTGGCGTTCACGCATGTCAAACGCACGCTGCCAAATGTCGAAGCACAAATAAAAAAGGGAGGAACCATAATCCAAAACATTCAAATTGCAATCGAACACAAAGCAACACTGAAGTATGGCGCGACCAGTATCATGCAGTAGCTGATCTGGACTCCAGTGCGTTGCTGTGAGACCAGTTCCTCTTGCAACGGACCGCGCACGTACTCCGTGAATGCATCCGTGCCCCCATACCATTCCAAAATGGCTGCATGGACAAACCTTGGCGTTCCGACAGTGGAAGGCTCACGCAGGCAAAATGAAGTGGACAATACTCCACCTCACGTGATCCCAAAGGCTTGACATAGTACGTGCTGGCAAAAAGAAAGTGGCGCAAATGCATGTCGGCATGCGCTGGACGCGGGTAGCATGTATGCGTGTACGTTGACGGATGACCATACTGACTGACACCACTTGAGGCCAGGGAGTCAGGGACCAAAGCTATAGCTGGGGAGGCACAGGGAGAAGGAGGAAGGTGTCCCAGCAGAGGATTGAACCATGGCAAAAACGGCGTACATAAAATAAACACACACACACACGCACGCACGCACGCACAAACACAACCACATAATACACAACATAACACCACATAACATGACGTAACATAAGATAAGATAACATTACATGACATGATCATAACATAGCATAGCAAAGCATAGCATGGCATACCATAGCATGCATTGTTTGCGTTGCATTGCAATGCATTGCGTTGCATTGCGTTATATATCATTATGTTACATTACGTGGCCTTACATTACATGACATTATACATAATGCATGTATGGCTTACGTAAAATTACGCTACGTCACGTTGCATTGCGGTACCGTGTAACATTAAATTACTACACACACTCATCAATTTGCACACACACACACACGCATACCCGAAACAAATGCGCAGAAGGTCTTGGGGCAAGATCCAGCCCCAGGCAAAGGAGTTAGGGTGGCTAACTGGGTTGAGGCCCGCCGTTGGGAAGGGGAGGGACGGTTGGCAAAAAAACACGTCGAAAAATATAAAAGACTTGCATTCTGCAGCAGCTCAAGGTAAAAGGACTGCCAGGAGACGCCTTGTCAAAGTTGGTGCGGCATTCCACTGCATCCAAATCAAAATTCGAATATCATTCAATAGCTGTCGTTTCATCAGGAAATTCCTTGGCCGCAGGGCAGGGGGGGCCATTTGTTTGGGCAGCCGGACTCCTAAACAAACCTCCAGCAGCTCCTAAGAGAATGAAAGACAAAAATGCTCACGGTCTCGGCTCAGCCTCTTCCGAAGTGAATGAAACACCGCTATGAAAGGGACCTTGGACAATGCATATGCATGAGTCACATACTAGCGGTGGCAAAAACGGTTATATCTGAACGAACCCCACATACTGTCCTGGTCGCACCATGCAGGCTACGGGAAGCTTGCTGGCTGACATCTTTGATTGAACTGAACGATTGAATGAAAGACTGGCTGCATGATTGAGTGGCTGAACTGGCCACTGCAAGGTTGAATACTGACTGAGATGGCCTAGTCTTCTCTGAGGCGAATCTTTTCATCACCCCGCTCCCCCCACCTCAAAATAAGTTCCAAAATTATTCTCAGGGTTGATAATAATGTCGTCGATAGTTATACGATGAAGCCCTCTTGAAGGCAACCTAAATTAAAATAAGGGAAAGGAATAAGGGAAAGGCTTGTTGCCAGCACTGAAATCACCAATTGTTTGTGTATCTTCACTGTTCTTTGTCAATATACAAGTAGTCCCCGGGCAAGCCGGGGGCGGAAGTTTCAAATTTGAAACGCTTATAAGTTATAGTATAGCCTATAGAGAAGAGCAAAGGCCGTGCCTATAGGTGACAGGCAAGCCCCCCGCGCTTCGCAGCAACAAACTCTTGATTTTTCAATCTGATGCCGATGCCATGTCTTTTGAATGTTGAATCTTTGCTCATTTCATCTAATCTCATCGCATCGCAGCTTCTCTTCGAAATTGCTCACTGCATGCCACTGTCACCGCAGTCTGTGTCATCCGATCTCATCTCAACTCATCTCATGTCTTCTGAGTTCTTTCACCTCATCTCATCTCATCCTATCTGATGTCTTCTCTCCCTTGCTGAGCTCTTCTCAGCTGATCACAACTGTTCTCATCTCTTCTCATGTCACCCGAGCTTTTCTCATCTCTTCTCATCTCATCTCATATCTCAGATTTTCACAGCTCTTCTCAGCTCTCTGCAGCTCATGTAAGCTCATCTTATGTGTTCTCATCTCTTCTCTCCTCTTCTCACATCTTCTCAGCTCTTCTCACATCTACTCAGCTGATCTCAGCTCTTGTCAGCTCGTCTCATCTCAGCTCTTCTCAGCGCACTCTCAAATCATCTCACCTTTTCTCTGGCCCAAAACCCGCTCCAAAAACGGATCTCGGCGCCAAAGCAGGCAACCCCTACGCTTTCAACGGGGAAGATTTGAACACAGAGAAGCTTTTACACAGAGCAAGCTTTTGCACAGAGAAGCTTGTACACGCAGAAGCTTTTACAGAGAGTTAGGGAAGCTTTTATTCACAGCAAGCCTTTACACAAAGCAAGCTCTTGCACACAGCAAGCTTTTACCCAGAAAATCGTTTACACAAACACAGAAGCTTTTACACAGAGAAGCCTTTACACAAAGAAGTTTCTACAGACAGCAAACTTTGACACAAAGAAGCTCCTACACAGAAAAGCTTTGACAAACAGAAAGCTTTTGCACACAGAAGCTTTTACACAAAAAATACCTTTACACAGCTTTTACACACAGAAGCCTTTACACAGCTTTTACGCACAGCGAGCCTTCACGCAGAGAAGCTCCAACACAGAAAAGCTCTTACACAGAGAAGCCTTTACGCCAGAAAGCTTTTACACACAGAAGCTTTTACACAAAGAAGCCTTTACACAGCTTTTACGCACAGCGAGCCTTTACACAGCTGTTACACACAGCAAGCCTTCACGCAGAGAAGTTTTTACACACAGAAGGCTTTTACACAGCGGAGCTTTTATACACACAGCAAGCTTTCACGCAGAGAATCTTTTACACACAGAAGCTTTTACACACAGCAAACTTTCACACACAGCCAGCCTTTACACAGAAAAGCTTTTGCACACAGAAAGCTTTCACACAGAGAAACCCTAAACAAACCTTTCCTTCAAACAAATGGTGTTCTTTCCAAACAAATGGCAGCTGGGCTTCTTTGAAAGGAGTTTTGCCTTTTTTTTTAAAGAAATGGCGCTACTTTCAAACATAAGGCCAGCTGAGCTTCTTTGAGAGGAATGTTACATCTTTAAAGGACACTCTGCATATTTTGACACAATATTGTTTCTGTTGTTTAAACTAAACTGTTTAAATACGATTGCAACTTTAAGTTAAGTATTCAATCTTTGAAGAAAACAGCATCTGCCTGAAGGAATGTTACCATGATAAAGGAAGAGGGTGGGAATAATTACTGCACTTTAGAACGTAATACACATCGTAGATAACACATATTTTTTGAAACAAATCCAACCTTCACAAACAGATTTCTTCCTGAAAAAAAACATTTGACTAGCTCAAAAGCAACCACCAGCTTGTAAATGAAAACAACTTTTTTGGTTGAAGTGGATGGCCGCCGCCTTTTTTCAATACGTTTTGCTTCTCTAGTTTCAACCCAAGGGCACTGACCCAGTGGAAGTGGATGCTTTGTAAGGAAAAGTGTTCTTCTTTGAAGAACCTTTGAAGAACCTCATTTCTTCAAAGCATTGTTTGCTGGGAATGTAGCACAGGCATGCAACTCAATAGACTACTGTTTATACAGATATATGATATTTCTCTTTTGGGCAATGCAAGCAAGTGAAAAAAAACCTGCATTGCCTGATATTGTTTGCAATTTTGCCTTTTGCTCAATGTGTTGCATTTTCTTTGGTCAACTGCTGCGCTGCGCAGCTCAAACTCATTCAACATTGTTATGTACTTCCACAATCTTTCACACCTGTTTGAAAACACCAGGGGGGTTCCTTAGTTTTCAAACTGAAAGAGGCCTTGTATATGAATTAAGGTTGTGTTTCAAAGACGGCCCATTCTTTCAAAAAGAATGTGGTATTGTACCACAATCAAGTAGTGTATCCCTAGGTTTCAAAACAATCTATTTCCATTTCTCATGATGTTTGCCAGACAAAAAGAAGGATAACTATTGTTTATGAAAAGTACATGACCTGAACTTATCTTTTGAAATTTTGCATGTTATGTTACATACATATTCTGTTGCGACTAATGCTTCAAAGTGGAGATATATATCCTGTTCTCTCTTCTGGGGTGGAATTTCTTCTTGGAATTTGCAACATGTTGAACCCATTGTCCTAAAGGAGTGCATTTTACAGCTGAATATGTGTTTTTCTCTGGGTCAGGCCTCCTCCTTTTAAACATCCTATTTGATTATGACCATTTCCGAAAGGATACAAGAACATGAGGAAAGCCTACTTTCCAGCGCTGGCAACAAGCCCCTCTCTAAAATAATTACCCAATTACTTCTTCTCTGAAGACTTGCCTCTGGGCCCGTCTCCCCCCAAAGCGCGCACTTTGCACAGATCGAAAGCTTTTAAACTTTTGCACGCTATATTTCCACGCTGGTGATTGAAAAAACTCTGACATTCCAGTGTTGCCCTCCAGTGATTGGTGAAGCCTTCTAAAGCCGAGCTCTTGCTGTGATTTTGAGCAGTTTTCTGCAAGCTTTACCGCGCCCATCTGCGAACCCATGGAAACACAAACGCTCGCTTGGCGTGTTTCACACACTTGCTGCTTTCCACCTTCAGCTAATGAACCCGCCAGGATTCTGTTCATTCAGGCGAACCAGTCATGCTTGTTCGTTTAATGACATGGCTCGGTGAGTTATTGAGTGGTTGCTTGTTGAATGGGAGTTTGCCCGTAACAATCGTACGAGTAACAATTGTCGCAAATTTGGACATGATTTATCTATACGTAGACGTATAGGCTTCCTTTGGTGATGGGTTTGCCATTGTCTTTCGTCGTTCTCCCCGTCAGCGCGCTTTGGTGAATGGAAAATTTTCGTAGGTGCTGCTGCAGCTGACCACTCTGCGACACTATTTCCTGCTGTTGCTCCCAGCATGAAAACACCACAATGCTGCTGAGAAAATGCCGCGTGGGCCGAATGGGAATGTGTGGGACGCGTAGGAAATGCATGGCAAAACCAAACGCACCACAGTACAGTGCAGGCCAAGGAGCGAATGATAGAAAAAGTACGGAGTTGCCCGAAGCTAAATGCACGGACATCACAAGCCACAAGATAATCGCCGCATGCGTTCCAAGCCAGCATGCTAAAACAGAAGCTTCCAAGAACCTCAAAACAAACATGAAAATAATTCTTGAGCAAGCATGAGGGAGCAAGCCAGGTGGGAGTTTTCATTTAATTACTTGGCATTAGTAATTAGTAATTCAAAACTTTCGGATTCAAACTGCGGCAATCACTGGAGAACGGGAAAACACATAGACATTCCAAGCAACAATGGCTTTAGCACGATTTTGCCTGCTGGATTTGAAATTCGATATGCAGCAAGTTCAAAGATGCACCAAAGCCTGAGAGACCAACGGGCGAGACTGGTACCAGCATATCGTTATGGTTCATGATCCATCATGCATCACGCAGACAGCACCAAAACATGTCCGTCAACACCTAGACTCACGGACCCGACAGCGCCCAAAGCTACCGTATACGCTAAACTGAGCCGCCTGCCTGGTGAGATACGGTGGGCTCCACAGGATTCGCAGCTCCTTGGAAGCTTTAAGAAAACAACCGAGGCCATAAATGCCGCGTTCCTTCATATCTTCATCGACTTGATGGATGCTCGCCACATCAAGGAATGCGAAGCGTTGGTTCGCAAGCGGCATCCATGGAGCCAACAAGAAAGGAATCACGCAAGTGCACTCTCCCTGACATGACGCTGGCGATTGTAGCAAGGAGATTGTCAAGCTCCCCGTCCCTAGAACAACTGATCATACTAGAATGCACTGCAATGCTCGAGGGGAAGAAGCGAGACAGCAATCATGCAAAAAAAGAACTGCAAGCTGAGGTGCGACCACAGCCCACAAACTCAAAGGTGCCATGCCCTCGTATCCTCGAAAACTGACGTCCCGAGGGTTACCAAGCGGGGGCAGCACGTCTACGAAGAAGAGAAATTCGCAGAAAATAGCTGCCCCAAGGCCCCCTCAGCCGTGACAGGTGCATCTGTGCTTGCAAAACATGTGACAAGATGCGACGAACCAATACCAAATACCGTCGATTACAACAAACCATGAGTCATCTTTTCCGAAAACTTTTTTTGGCTGCTGCTGGGGCACAAAGCAAAATATGGATCCAAGTGATCTGCAAGGACAACGAGAGAAATTTCCAAATGCCTTTGGTATGCCACGTATGTGAAAGAAAGACGTCGAATTCTTTGACCTTGGAGTGACCGGCCAAAGCGGCCAATATCAAGGTGGAAGCAGGGGGAAAAGTAACAACTGCTGAAAAGACTGGAATTGTTGCGCCTGCTGACGCATTTTTTGGCAAATCATATCGCAAAAGATTCATAGCTGAGTTGTTTTCTCGTGAAGAAACCTGCCAACACCTTAACAACGCTAAAACTTGTGATGTGGGCAATCCAAACCAAACTGACTTCACTTGCGCACCTACGGGGCGCAAGCGTTAATTAGATTGGGGATGATTGGGGGGTGCCCTATTCTTCAAACGCTCAGGACTTCGTCCTTCTCTGTCAGGACGTTTCTTGCTGGCAGTTCGACATGAAGCGTGGTGAATGCCTCGAAATCGCTCGCACTGCCAAGCCACGGCAAATGCAGCATCCCATAGGTGCAACTTCTCGTTCTTAGTCATGTCTAAAGGAGACCGACGCCATATACGCCCAAAGTTCCGAAGTGTGTTTTTCAATGGAATGCCTGCCACCGGGCGCATCATGCAACATCTTGCAAGTTGTAAAGCCAAAAGCCTTACCATTGACATCACTGTAGCATATAATTATTAACATCTGGTGGGACAAGCGTACTTCAGGCATAAGCAAGGTAATCTATGTTTCAACCTCCCATACAACAATCTATAGCTGAAATGGCCAATGCTGCCAAAGATTTTCATAGGCTGTACATCCACCAATGAGAATGGGGATACGGAAACCTTCCTTTGCGCCGACAAAACAAAAGAAGTGATACCTGATAATTCGAATAGAAAATAACCCAATGTAGGTTTTGAATGGATACATGATAAATTTGAGCGCTGTGAAGTTATATGATGTGAACTATGATGTGACTTGATCTGGCCGCCCCCCCGCCCGCAAATTGCACCCAAACAGACCCTGCTCCGTTGTCTAAAAAGGCCGAGCAAGCAGTAGTAAAGCCAAAGCATTACAACAAACAATGATGGTTAGCACAAGTTCTGGCCCAAATCTCCTACCAGCGGGAGGAACGGTTCTTGCCGCTCTTGCCAAGAGTTTGGGAGGTTGGATTGTGCCATGGATGACTATTCCCCCAATGTCATGTCTGTTGAAACCTGGTGATCGAATTTCCCTGGTTGCATCGATGGTGGCATGTGATCCCCCTGGTGTTTAATCACTTGATGTCAGGGGTGATCAACAAGACGTCGTTTGGGTTTTCTGGGGAAATGCCCCATGGAAAGCTCACACACAGCCTTCTGGAAGCCCGTGTTGCAACACCCATGCTGAAAAAAAAAGGTTGCAGATGAGCACATTTTTTTGCGACATCATGATGCTTGTACATGGGACTCCGACAGGGATTTGATCGAGCTTTGTTCTGGAATGGGAGGTATATGGGTCAAGGGTTGATGAGTGTTGGGTTCAGACCTGTCGTGGCTTGCGATTCTAACCCCCTCATGCTTGGCCTCTACCAGATCGAATGTTGCCACGGTTTGCGGTGACATTAGCAGCCTTCAGACCATCCATGCCATCTGGCAAAAGCATCTGTTGTCATCATCCATCGCATCGGTTCAGGTGTGTGGTGTCCGCCGTACTCCAGATTAGGTGACAGAGCATCTGGCCAAGATCTCAGGGCACAAAGCCTTCCAGCCACGTTGGCAGGTGCTCACTTTTGAAAGCTGTCTTGATTTTCATTATTGAGTGTGTCTGTCCAGCCCAGCAGGACACCTTTGTGATGACCAATGTACAGAGGTTTTGCCGGCTAACGGGTTTTCATTTCACTGATTATCACTGATTGCATTTTGAGATTGCAGGACATGTGGCCTTGTGCAACGAATCGATGGTGGTGTCTTTTGGCAGCCCCAGTTTTTGGGACCAATCCGCATCCGACCCATGCCAAGTCTGTTTGATTGCACACTAATCCGATTTGTCATGCCATAGGTGATCCCTTGGCCGTTCAATCATGAAGCCGAGCTTCGACTGACTGAAGTAGAGAAACTTGCCTTTGGTGTTGTTGACAATGATGAGGGATGTCCGTACCTGATGAACAGGTCAGGAATTTTGCCTTGTCCATTGCATGCTTGGGGATCTCAACTCCGAAGCTGCCCATGCAAATGTCGCAGTGGGCGTGGGCCTTTGTCATCTGAAAAACTGGCAAATCGGTGGCTCTATGGCGTCGTAGTGAGGGCTGCTTTTGATGGTGCTGGACTTAGCGAAGTGCGCCATATTCACTCTTGTGAATGTGCTGCTTTGGTTGGCTTTGATCCGTCTGCTGATTATGGTGAGCACCCCTGGCTCACCCTCAGCGCAATTAGCCAGATTGCATCATCATTCCAAGCTGTTGGGCTTGGGGCACATGTTATTTCCCACTCTGAATGGATGCAGCGAGGGATTCGTCAATTTGAACCCCTGGATCATGCGCATGCCTGCCGCACATGGTTTTTGTCAAAGTGCCAATTGATGTGGCCTTGCCCTGAAATGTGTCCCGCTTTGCATGCGCTGATGACATCCGACATGGGGAAATAGTTTGCCTTGACACTCTGCATGCTGTTCTCCACATGGAATCATGGGATTTGTTGATGACTGAAAGATGCCTTGCTGCTGTTTTGCGCCAGTTCCGGGACATGCCCCTTTTGCCTCACTGTGGTAATGAGCCACTCCAGGACACAATGGTAGATGATGCCTCTGATGCCAATGAAGCTGAACCCGAGCCTGATATGCTGCCTGATGAACTGCTTTCATGCCACACAGGTGCCTGAACATTGTGCTGCCATTTTGTATCCGCCTGCCTTGGAACTGCTGGCAGTCTATTTGTCTGTGGCCAGAAAACACTATCAGAAACTATTGGGGAGTTTTGGTGGGACTATAACAAACAACTGGAGAAACTATTGGGAAAATTGTTAGGAACTATATAAGGAAAATAGTGATATAATAGGATGTAATTAAGTAAAATTTGGATCAGTGAGTCATAGAGTCATAGAGGGTAGATAATTCCAATTGTTACAGGGGTCCTGGAGCCTGGAACATCTTAGATCCTGGATGGGTACTGAATTCTGAATAGATTTTACAATGCCGAATGCCGCCGAAAGCCTGAACCAAATACAGGAACTATGATAGGAACTTTGTGTTGAACAGAAGATGGCAACACGAAATACGCAGGACAAAGCAAACCGAGAGACAACTACAGGGTAAGGCTAAAGATATGGGTTGAAGGAAACAAAGAATTACACTAACACGGCAACAGGGAGTCATGGATGAATACATTGAGACGGTTGGTGAAGTTGGTGAAGACTTTGGGCTGAAAGTCATTAGACGAAGTACCACACGGCCGTCGTGAGGTTCAGGTGCCTTGTCCACTAGAAAGTGGGGACGGGTACTGACAGAAACCGTATCCATATGTCAGATGTCAGTCCATATAGTGTTCATAAGGGCCCATGGTCTTGTTAAGTTTTTTTTGCTATGTACATTCAGTCATGCGACTGGGTTGATGATATGCAGTGCACATGAACCATGGGAACAAACAAACAACAAATAGAGAGATGACAGGTAAGGTAAGTAGGTCAGTAGGTAGGTTGGTAGGTAGGTCGGTAGGTAGGTAGGCGGTAGGATAGTAAACATGAAAATGACATTAAATATGATATGATGAAATCATAGCTGATTCACCGATAATGATATGGTGTGATTCTTGATTGAATCTCATGAAATTAAAAAAGTCAGAACCGTTTTGATATAGTTTAATGATATAGTCAGAGTCATAGTCTGCCATGGTCGGTGGGTGGTACTTGCATTTCCTTTAAACCCCAGTGGTCATTTCCAGAAAACAATGATTTTACGCATGTGTTCATTGAAGAGCCGGGATTTTGGATCTCCGCGGTGTCGAATGCGGCTGTATGTGATTGGCGTGCGATGTGACTTGGTGGGCTACGCTGCTTTCTCGTCTTTGATATGTTTCTTGAGAAATCGTCTCCAGAAGGTTCATGAGTATGCTGGAGTATCTGATGTGGTGCGTCATCTTGAGAAGTTCGGATATGCCCAATGCGTGGAGCCAAGCCCTGTTGTGAAGGACCCACCCATTAATCAAATTAGTAGTCACAGTCACATTCGTCATGAACAAAGTAGAAGGTAGCTGAGCCCGGCCATGGTTAAAGAAGAACAATTTTTGTTTTTGTCAGAGTCAGAAATGTTATGTTAGACTGACAGACATGGTATGTTTTCAAAAGTTGGGCATCTTGTTTGATTCCGATTCCATATTCCGACTCATTCACTAGATCAGGCTCATGTTAGATGCGTTTTTTTTAAAGTGGCGCCAATCGTATTTGCACATTTGCTGTGGCGGGCGAATGGTGAAATTAGGCAGCACAGGGCCAATTCTCCCTTTTAGTCCCAGCCAAAATTTCATATAGTTCCTGAGCTCCCTTTGGCTGTTTTTTGGTACCAGGGACGGTTTCTCACGGTTTCTGACTATTAGGGACGGTTTCTGGCTGTATTTTCTCCATTTTCATCCCTTTTCTGATGGCATTTTAATTCCCAATTTTCTTCCCTTTTCCAAGCCTCTGGGCTAGGAGCGGAAGCTGTCTGTGAAGGGTACAAATGAGATTGCCGAATAAAAGAAGAGGTTGAACATTACAGCCCGGTATTTAAGTTTGGCTAGTGGCTAGTAGGGTCAAGTAGGGTAACCTCATTTGAGAACCTTCCAGCCTTTTGTCTTCCCCTTCTTGGGCCAGCCGGGCCCCTGATCTAATTTTGATTGGCCTTGTCGACGAGAGGGACTTGGGTATGCTGAGCTCGCGTGAGCGGGCTGTTCTGGATATCAGTTGGCACATAATTGTGGATGACACTGATTTGCAATGAGCAGTGGTATGCTTTGGGTTTGACTCGCATTTTTGTACTTCGTCACATGTACCGTGTTGTGCGAATGACCCATGTATTGACTATTCCTCTGAGCCAACCATATAATTAATTAGGAAATTTCAGAATTTCAAATGCCTTTGATACAGTCTGATACAGTATGATGTTGACATTGGTTGATTGATATCATTATTAGAGTGTAAAAGCAGGATACGGAATACTCTACTCAAAACCACAACTTACAAGATTGCCTATAGTTGTAGTTAAATGATATTTACTCAAGCATCATCATAACATAGGACAAGAACATATATAGTTAATAATTGTTGGTGAGCAAGTAGTGAATAAATAATGCATTAGTCTTATAAAATTAAGTTATTCTGGTTTTCCACAAGAAAAACACACACAGTATTAAACCGTAGTTACCGTTCCTTGCTATATCTAAGCCAAAACCAGATATAGTCTGAGACCGTCCGAGACCGTCTGAGACCGTTCCGGAAAATAGGCAATTTTTTGAAGGGCATTTTACCGTAGATACCGTTTCTGACTGTGTCCCCTACTTTGAGCATTTTACCGTAGTAACCGTTTCACACTGTATAAAACCATGCCCAATAACTGCATATCATCTATTGTATTTAGATTTTATTGTATTAATATTAACAAAATAACAAATTGATACTATTTGTTTGATTTGATGTGATATAATTGATGTACAAAAAAAACAACATGTAGTCAAGAATCATTGCTACAACAATGTTTTATTCATCGTTTGTGTTTGTTTAGCATTCATCATTTGTAATGTCAAATTATAATCAGCTGTAAGGTAAAAATCGTTGCGCTGGTTTACTGATTTGCGGTTAAACAGTTATACGAGTACCATTAGTTATGTTTTACTGCTTTAGTTACACTGTTATCTTTAACTGTTAACATTGAATCACTGGTAACTTTTAAACTCTCAACTTAAATCTATAAACCTACAATTTGTAACTCAGAACTTAACTTTTGACTAATGACTCCGATTAGTAATTCACAAAGCCCAAGTCTAGAAACTCATTCCGATGCCTACTTGAAACCCATAACATTACTTAACTACTTGCCATTATCTACCAGGCGGTTGGCATGGACCAGGGATATCAATAACGATCTTGCTATACATGGACCCATCAAAGAAAAATAGGAAAGGTTTCTGATGATTCACAACCATCACTATCACTGACTATCACCATCACTATGACTATCAGGTATAATTTAAAACAAATTACATATAGTTTCTGACACATTTAATATAGTTTCTACTGAATTACATTTGGTTTCTGGTATCCTACAACAACCCCAACATGGACACGTCAGAAACAGGTGATTAAATAGGCTCCCAGTGGTTCTAACGCCTGCCCATGATGATGCATTTGTAAAGATCCATGCTGGAACCACTGTTCAACAGCTCCTGGTCGCTGAAAGTCACTGGCATGGATTTGAATGGGTCTGCCGTAAATGTTTATAAGCGCACTGTGGCAAATGAATGTGATCCAGCCGGATCAATTTGCGCCAACGGGGCGACCAGGTGACCCTGAGCATCTTGGATGGGCTCCGAAATTAGTTACTGTAGCTTTCCAGGTGAGTGCGGTCAAACTCCGTTATGCTGTGGTCAAGGTGTCCATAGTTATGGAATGCCCGGTGGTGGGACCAGAGCTGCCCAGCTTCAGCTTGCACAAGCAGTTCGCCCAGGTGTGGTCTACTTGCCATCTGGCCCCAAGCAGCAATACCTGGTGGGACCATGCATTCCCGTGTGGGTCTGATCTGCCCTCCCAACAGGCCGTCCTGGCCAATTTGGCTCAGCCCAGTAGCATGGAAGTGGCTGACGTCCCAGACAGATGACACAACTTGGAAAATCAAATGCAGACCATGATGCAGAAACATGCTGCGTTACCGACAAACCTCTTAGCTCACCTCGGTCCACAACCAACTTCATGCCCAGAGCACGGAGTTAAGGCTTACTTATGCTTAGCAGATTTTTGTTTTTTTGGGCCTTGTTTTTCTTCAAAGTCAGGGGAGTGGCAGGGGCAGCTAAAAAAAGAAAATCAGAAATATAACAACTTTCAAACAATTAAACGAGAAAACCATAGAAAACCATGTATGTAATAGAAACCTGTTTCCTAAACTCAGCAGCAAAACCTCCATGCGATGTTCGATGCGCAGCTCTCTCAGATTCGAGGGTTGCTCAGGCGTTCCCGTGATGATCACGAATGATGGTTTGGGGCTGCAGCCACCCTCAGTGCCCGCAATAGCCTGAGGATCACACAATCTGACTTTAAGTACATTGCCTGTGGATATCCTGTTCCCATAAGATTGCACTGGGCTTCTTCCGGTGGTTGGAAAGGGGTGGCTGCATTGTCCAAACATCCCACTCGTGCACAGCCAGTTGGTTGGGATGATGGCATCAAACATTCCAGCCGCGCTTTGGTGACCTCCAGCCTTGTCCAGAACATGTGGATCACCGCTGGCACCATATATGGAGAAACTGCCGGCTTGGCATCCGCAACCAGCTTCAGAAAAACAACCGTTTGCTTAGTGCAGTTGCCACCCATGTTTGCCTGTACTCCACGGGGCTTCGTGTAGTGGCTGGTGATTTCAACCTTCTCCGTGCTTGAAAACTCTAGTTTTCGTGACCTGCAAGCCATTGCGGCTGACCATTGGGGGGTAAGCATTCAAAACACATGTACAAGTGCTCCACCCCACACAGGTTGACTTTTGTTGTATCATCAGTCCCGAGCCCCAGGCCATGCTGCAACCCATTGAACTCCTACATGATGCATGGCCAGATCACACAATCATTCAAGGGCATTTTCGTGGTCATGTTCGCGGTGTCCCCAGGTTTGTCTGGCGCCAGCCACTGCCTATGGAGTGGCCAAAGTTTGATGTTCCCGCTATGGCTGCTGTGAAGCCAGGGTCAGCCACTGCCAGTTTTCGTCAGTTTTGGCAAGATGTTGAGTCGGCGCTGTTGCAGCTAGCCCCAAATACTATCCCCAAAGCCAGTCGCGGCCGTGAAGTCCCCCAGAGCTGGAGATATTGAACCTAACTTCTTTGGAGTGTCCCTCCAACATGCTAATTGGTCCCGTCAAGCACGTCGTCTCCAGTCTGTACGGTTTGCCAAAGCAGCGCGACCTGGCGTCGATCCACGCCATGCGGCGAAGGTCTGGGGCGCTATCCAAAGGGCCAGAGGTTTGAACCGTGCTTTAGTCAGTGGCGGGAAGAATGCCCATTCCAAATTGCCATCGATCCCACAACATGGGGTGATTGCGCAACATGTGTATGATTGCTTTGTCCTTGCCCTGCGGCATCTTGAAGAAGATCTCATGAAGACAAGTAAAGCCAAAGCTTAGGCGCAACGCCTTGCTTCGGATGGCCCTGATGAAGTGGACCTCTTGCTAAAGCCACAACAGCCCAAAGTCAGCCACTTTGATTTTTGCCAGTCTTGCACTCAACCGGTGTTTGTTGCAGGCAAGCCGATTGAAATCTTGCATTGTGAAGATTGTTGGTTGTGGGTTGGTGATGTCATCGACGTTCCTGTTGGGGCCACTTGTACCCAAGTCAAATTTACAGGAAGCTTGGAAGACTTCTTTCGTGAATTTCACGGAACCTGGTCAGCACGATGGCAACGACATGCCGCCATCCCTGAAAGCCAATGGTATGACATTTTGGCTTTTGCTCGTCAGTTTGCTCGCCCTGTGCCCTGTCAGTCCATACCCCTCACGCCTGATATTCTCAGTAATGAGATCAAGAGAAAGAAGAGAGGTACGGCACGAGGCTTAGATGGAGTGAGCTTGCAAGATCTCAAACATCTTCCCCCTAATGCATTAGATAACATGTTAGATAAGCCTCTGCACATTCTGCCGCCATGCTGAGACTTGTGGTGAATGGCCACCCAACTGACTGCAGGGAGAGTCACATCCTTGGCCATGTGTTCTTCGCCCACCAGGGCTTCTGACTTTCGGCCGATCACGGTCTTGAGCCTCTGCTACAGGGTCTGGAGTTCATATCACTCAAAGAACTTGATTGCATCCCTTGACAAATGGATGCCTGCTGGCCTTTATGGGTCCCGCCGGGGAGGTCATGCTGGAATGGTTTGGATGAATATCTTGCTCTCGATTGAAGAAGCCCATGATTGTGACATTCCGCTCTCTGGACTGGTTTGTGACAATGTCAAAGCCTTTATCTAACTGTGTGAGCAAGTCAATCATTTTTGAACTTGCGGCGATGATGCGACTCCCGGGACACATTTTGGTTGGGTGGGCTGGTGCAGGTAGTTCCCTCATAAGACATTTCCAAATCCGTGACAATTTTTCACAGGGCACTCACAGCTGCACTGGCTTTGCTGAGGGTGATGGTTTGAGCTGTGTCGCCATGCAATTGCTGGATTGCCTGCTTCACTGGTGGATGGATGTTCTTCAAGCCCCTTTATCAGACTCTTACGTATGTGGATGATTGGCAATTTTTACTGCGGTGCCCCAGCCATGCCATCCAGGCACTCTCTCATCTTGAGGCGTTCTGTGCCAAGGTCGATGTCCAGCTTGACCACAAAAAGACATATGTTTAGAGCCTTTCCAGAGAGGGTCGGCAGCTGTTCCGCACTCAAGGGTTGCCACTTGGCCATTCAGGAAGGAACTTCGGAGGACACCTCCAACTGACCCTTCAACATATCAATGCCACCTTCAAACCCGGGCCCGAGCCTTCCTGTCCTTTGGGATCGGTTGGGAACCTCTGTTCTTTGATTGTGATAGTTTGGTTTTTGAAAATGATAGTTTCATTTTGTGTGCCATGGAAAGTAAAAAACACAACATTTTTTAGAGTTTTGTTTTTAATGTGCTGGAAATGATATTTTAATGACATTTGTGATATAAACATAAAGCTAATCATGAATATCTTGGAGGACTATATGTGACACACACCTTGAAATACCTTGGATCTTGAAGCATCAACATACATATTAGATTAGCCTTAGCTATCTAAGTTTTGCTTAAAATAAGATCACTCTCCAAAACTTTGTTTTGCAAAAAAAACATTGATTTTGACTCAGGTGACTAAGGTTTCATGCATGGGTAGTAAACCCTGAACAAGGGTTCTAGCCCTGAATAAGGGCATGGGTGGGAATGGGCAGGCAGGAATATTGCAACTCAGCCACAATTTTCAGATCATGTAATATATTGTTTTCATCGAATAAGTTTTGACATGGAACTATCTGGGACTTGGCCTTCCTTGTCTTGGATGCCCATCTCAAAACTTAGATTCATAATTTCCATGGTTTTGAAGTGGATCCATCTGAGACTTGGTCTTCCTTGTCTTAGATGCCAATTTCAAAACTTGTTTTTTATGGATCCATCTGAGACTTGGCCTTCCTTGTCTTAGATGCCAATTTCAAAGCTGGGTTTCATGGTTTTCCCAAGTTTTGAAATGGATCCATCTGAGACTTGGCCTTCCTTGTCTTAGATGCCAATTTCAAGACTTGGTTTCATGTTTTTCCCGAGTTTTGAAATGGATCCATCTGAGACTTGGCCTTCCTTGTCTTAGATGCCAATTTCAAAACTTGGTTTCATGGTTTTCCCGAGTTTTGAAATGGATCCATCTGAGACTTGGTCTTCCTTGTCTTAGATGCCAATTTCAAAACTTGGTTTCATAGCTTCCCAGGTTTTGAAATGGATCCATCTGAGACTTGGCCTTCCTTGTCTTAGATGCCAATTTCAAAACTTGGTTTCATTTTTTTTCATTGTTTTCACTCTGTTGGTACTTGGTTGTTTTTCATTCTGTGCGCATGTTCTGGACTCGTGGGTTACTGTTTCAGAACTTGGATGCCCCCAAGGTTAGACTGGGCTTAAATAGACCGACCATACACTTAAATTCAGCAAATTTCCATGTCCCCCAGACTGGGTTTTCCCGAATTCTGTTCCTAATGGATTGGATTCTTTGACATTCCGATTCCCCATCTGGTCACAAAAATACGGGTTATTCAAAATTGTCTTATCCAAGGTTTGTTCATAGAGTTGGTTTCTCAGTGACTTGTTTTGGTCATACAATTGAATGCTTCAAGACTTCGTCGTCCAAGTGTTGGTCAAAAAACACATTTCCCCGGGACTGGTTATTTTACTTTTTTTCCTTAGAGTTGGGTTCTCCATCATAACTTGTTTGTCCAGTTTGGGTCATAGACAAGAATCGTTCAAGGCTTGGCTGTCCATAATGTCTTGGTCATGCAACTGGATTTCCCAAGACTCGCTACTTTCAAAGTTTTTATCATATAACAGACAAGAAATACAAGGTTCAAGACTTGGCTTTCCAAGTCTTGGTCATAGAATTAACTTGGTTTTCCAAGTCTTGGTCAAAGAAATAACATGTTGAGGACTTTGTTTTCCAAGTGTTGGTCACAAAGACTCTCATAGACTTAACATGTTCAAAAACTTGGCTTTCCAAATTTGGTCATCAATACTTCAAGAGATGGCGTTCCAGTCTTATTCAAAAAAAACATGTTCAAAGCCAACAGTTTTTCTTAAATCTTTTTTAAAGAAACTAAAAGTTCAAAGAAAGAAGCACTAACCATTGGGAAAAAAGAATCAAGTCTCTGGACCTCATTTTCTCAGTGATGAAATTCAAAAAATATCTTTTTCACAGAGCAGTTTCATGAAAAATATGAGATTCCGGAAGGACACTGCCAGTGCCAAGTCTCTGAACCCCATTTTCTCTGTGATGAAGTCTAAAACACAGAGAAAATGTGTCTTTTTCACAGAGCAGTTTCATAAAAAATATGAGATTCCAGAAGGACACTGCCAGTGCCAAGTCTCTGAACCCCATTTTCTCTGTGATGAAGTTTTAAAAAACACAAAGAAAACTTTTTTTTCTCACAGAGCAGTTTCAAGAAAAATATGAGATTCTGGGAGGACACTGCCAGTGCCAAGTCTCTGAACCTCATTATCTTTGTACAGTTGCTGCTGAACACATCCAGCTATTTTTTTACAATCATATTTTCATTAAGATAATGAGGTTCGAAGACTTGGCACTGGCAGTGTCCACCAGTGCCAAGTCTCTCAACCTCATTATCTTTTTACAGTTGCTGCTGAACACATCCAGCTATTTTTTTTACAAACAGATTTTCATTAAGATAATGAGGTTCGAAGACTTGGCACTAGCAGTGTCCACCAGTGCCAAGTCTCTCAACCTCATTATCTTTTTACAGTTGCTGCTGAACACATCCAGCTATTTTTTTACAAACAGATTTTCATTAAGATAATGAGGTTCGAAGACTTGGCACTAGCAGTGTCCACCAGTGCCAAGTCTCTCAACCTCATTATCTTTTTACAGTTGCTGCTGAACACATCCAGCTATTTTTTTACAAACAGATTTTCATTAAGATAATGAGGTTCGAAGACTTGGCACTAGCAGTGTCCACCAGTGCCAAGTCTCTCAACCTCATTATCTTTTTACAGTTGCTGCTGAACACATCCAGCTATTTTTTTACAAACAGATTTTCATTAAGATAATGAGGTTCGAAGACTTGGCACTGGCAGTGTCCACCAGTGCCAAGTCTCTGAACCTCATTATCTTTGTACAGTTGCTGCTGAACACATCCAGCTATTTTTTTACAAACAGATTTTCATTAAGATAATGAGGTTCAAAGACTTGGCACTGGCAGTGTCCACCAGTGCCAAGTCTCTGAACCTCATTATCTTAGTGATGTCAAGTGGTTAGGCCAAGTCTGAGGAGGTGACTTTTGACCTCTAGACTTGGCACTGGCAGTGTGTGCCAGTGCCAAGTCTCTAAATTCCATCAAAGTAGCTTACCAAGTCTGTAGGTCTCTCTTCTAACCCTGAACATTTGGTAAGCTATTTTGATGTAACTTAGAGACTTGGCACTGGCAGGCACTGCCAGTGCCAAGTCTAGAGGGTTGACTCTGTGTTGCAACTCTTGGCACTAGTACTTGAGATCATTATGCCTCCACAGGTTTGCGGCTCAAAAGCTTATTGCTCCTAGGCTGCTTCACTTCATTTTCGACTATGGCTGCCAGCCGTCAGTCACCAGATGTCAAGCAGGTCTGTGACAGAGTCATGCAATGGGCCATCGACAAGTTCACTGGCTCAGGGAACCCTGAGGTGGATGACGCAGTTGATTGCTGTTTGATGCTCAGATCATGGTCTTGTCTGTGACAGCATGTGCATCAAGCACAAGGTCTGATGTCAAAAAAATGAGGTTGAGAGACTTGGCACTGGTGGACACTGCTAGTGCCAAGTCTTCGAACCTCATTATCTTAATGAAAATCTGTTTGTAAAAAAATAGCTGGATGTGTTCAGCAGCAACTGTAAAAAGATAATGAGGTTGAGAGACTTGGCACTGGTGGACACTGCTAGTGCCAAGTCTTCGAACCTCATTATCTTAATGAAAATCTGTTTGTAAAAAAAATAGCTGGATGTGTTCAGCAGCAACTGTAAAAAGATAATGAGGTTGAGAGACTTGGCACTGGTGGACACTGCCAGTGCCAAGTCTTCGAACCTCATTATCTTAATGAAAATATGATTTTAAAAAAATAGCTGGATGTGTTCAGCAGCAACTGTACAAAGATAATGAGGTTCAGAGACTTGGCACTGGTGGACACTGCCAGTGCCAAGTCTTCGAACCTCATTATCTTAATGAAAATATGATTAAAAAAATAGCTGGATGTGTTCAAGCAACTGTACAGAGGTTCAGAGACTTGGCACTGGCAGTGTCCTTCTGGAATCTCATATTTTTTTGAAACTGCTCTGTGAGAAAAAAGTTTTCTCTTGTGTTTTTTAGAACTTCATCACAGAGAAAATGGGGTTCAGAGACTTGGCACTGGCAGTGTCCTTCTGGAATCTCATATTTTTTATGAAACTGCTCTGTGAAAAAGACACATTTTCTCTGTGTTTTAGACTTCATCACAGAAAATGGGGTTCAGAGACTTGGCACTGGCAGTGTCCTTCCGGAATCTCATATTTTTCATGAAACTGCTCTGTGAAAAAGATATTTTTTGAATTTCATCAATGAGAAAATGAGGTCCAGAGACTTGATTCTTTTTTCCCAATGGTTAGTGCTTCTTTCTTTGAACTTTTAGTTTCTTTAAAAAAGATTTAAGAAAAACTGTTGGCTTTGAACATGTTTTTTTTGAATAAGACTGGAACGCCATCTCTTGAAGTATTGGTGACCAAATTTGGAAAGCCAAGTTTTTGAACATGTTAAGTCTATGAGAGTCTTTGTGACCAACACTTGGAAAACAAAGTCCTCAACATGTTATTTCTTTGACCAAGACTTGGAAAACCAAGTTAATTCTATGACCAAGACTTGGAAAGCCAAGTCTTGAACCTTGTATTTCTTGTCTGTTATATGATAAAAACTTTGAAAGTAGCGAGTCTTGGGAAATCCAGTTGCATGACCAAGACATTATGGACAGCCAAGCCTTGAACGATTCTTGTCTATGACCCAAACTGGACAAACAAGTTATGATGGAGAACCCAACTCTAAGGAAAAAAAGTAAAATAACCAGTCCCGGGGAAATGTGTTTTTTGACCACTTGGACGACGAAGTCTTGAAGCATTCAATTGTATGACCAAAACAAGTCACTGAGAAACCAACTCTATGAACAAACCTTGGATAAGACAATTTTGAATAACCCGTATTTTTGTGACCAGATGGGGAATCGGAATGTCAAAGAATCCAATCCATTAGGAACAGAATTCGGGAAAACCCAGTCTGGGGGACATGGAAATTTTCTGAATTTAAGTGTATGGTCGGTCTATTTAAGCCCAGTCTAACCTTGGGGGCATCCAAGTTCTGAAACAGTAACCCACGAGTCCAGAACATGCGCACAGAATGAAAAACAACCAAGTACCAACAGAGTGAAAACAATGAAAAAAAATGAAACCAAGTTTTGAAATTGGCATCTAAGACAAGGAAGGCCAAGTCTCAGATGGATCCATTTCAAAACCTGGGAAGCTATGAAACCAAGTTTTGAAATTGGCATCTAAGACAAGGAAGACCAAGTCTCAGATGGATCCATTTCAAAACTCGGGAAAACCATGAAACCAAGTTTTGAAATTGGCATCTAAGACAAGGAAGCCAAGTCTCAGATGGATCCATTTCAAAACTCGGGAAAAACATGAAACCAAGTCTTGAAATTGGCATCTAAGACAAGGAAGGCCAAGTCTCAGATGGATCCATTTCAAAACTTGGGAAAACCATGAAACCCAGCTTTGAAATTGGCATCTAAGACAAGGAAGGCCAAGTCTCAGATGGATCCATAAAAAACAAGTTTTGAAATTGGCATCTAAGACAAGGAAGACCAAGTCTCAGATGGATCCACTTCAAAACCATGGAAATTATGAATCTAAGTTTTGAGATGGGCATCCAAGACAAGGAAGGCCAAGTCCCAGATAGTTCCATGTCAAAACTTATTCGATGAAAAAAATATATTACATGATCTGAAAATTGTGGCTGAGTTGCAATATTCCTGCCTGCCCATTCCCACCCATGCCCTTATTCAGGGCTAGAACCCTTGTTCAGGGTTTACTACCCATGCATGAAACCTTAGTCACCTGAGTCAAAATCAATGTTTTTTTTGCAAAACAAAGTTTTGGAGAGTGATCTTATTTTAAGCAAAACTTAGATAGCTAAGGCTAATCTAATATGTATGTTGATGCTTCAAGATCCAAGGTATTTCAAGGTGTTTGTCACATATAGTCCTCCAAGATATTCATGATTAGCTTTATGCTAATATATTCCAAATGTCATTAAAATATCATTTCCAGCACATTAAAAACAAAACTCTAAAAATGTTGTGTTTTTTACTTTCCATGGCACACAAAATGAAACTATCATTTTCAAAAACCAAACTATCACAATCAAAGAACAGAGGTTTGGGGTTGTCGACATGCCCGTATCATCATCAAAGTTCGTGCGCTTACCACGGCCGCTTGGCCGAGAGGGTTGCATGGCGTGGCCTCTACACAGCTTGGTGGACAGATCCAGAGTCTTTGCGCAGTGGTGCAATGCACGGCATATACGTGCCGATTGTGCTGGCTGTAACCCTTGGGTTCATCTTGGACTGGTTGAAGAGTCTAACTTTATGTGAACCTGGATTCTGGTCTGTTATCCAATCGATCCGTTGCGTGAGAGACTGTGCCACTCTTGACTTTCTTGGGCCAGTCTTAACTCAGTGTGCGTTGGGCCCGTCCTCTACTCCTGGAAACACATGGAACCACCATCACTCAGACCCGTCTAGACTGCACATGTTGGAGTAGTCGGTTCCAAATGGCTTGGTCGCAGACTTCCTTGGTTGTTTGCCACCAGTTTTGATGACATCTTGTTGAGGCCCAATGGTCATGGCAAGGTGTTGTTGCCCAGGCCGTTCACCATCGGTCTGGTCTCCATGGTTTGGTGCATGCTGACGTGTCAGCCACAAGAAAACGGCTTCGACAGCTGAAAAATGAAGATGCTGCATGGGCAGAAAGCTCCTAGATGGGGCCCACTTTACTGATGATGCAAAGCAATACTGAGAATCGGATCTTGACGCTATTAGCCAATTTGCAAGTTGGGCTGTCGTTCAACCCGATGCTGGACCCACGGACCCCCATCATCCCAAAACATGTGTCCTTGCCGCCAGCCCGTTGACTGGTCTGTTGCGAGCAGAAGCACGAGCGGTGCTTGAAGCCCTGCGCATTGCCAGAGGCCTACGCCGTCCTGCCTGCATTTGGTGTGACTGTCAGGGTGTCGTTGTCCGTCTCTGGCGTGGCCTCGTCCGTATTAAACCAAATGGTCGTGCTGCTGATCTCTGGGGTGACATCTCTGCTCTCCTTGGTGACATGGATTGCTCCAATGTTGCGGTCCATCAGGAACATTCTTGCCGACCTCTGCCTTTGAAGCTTGGTGTTATTTCCATAACCGTTTGGCTGACCATGCGGCGCGGGTCGCCCATGAAATGCGCCCACATCGATTCTGGAAATTGCATTCAGCCTTTGTGACAGCCAGTCAGGCTGCCTTGAAGATTTCCTGCCATGCTCACGCAGTTCAAATTGCCGTCAGCAGAGCCGTGGTTCAACATCAGGTTGCCCTTGATGCTGAAGGTATAACAGCTGTGTTGCCAGTTGCCAGTTGTCAGCGTGGCCCCAAGTCCCAATGAGCCGTGTTGGACGGCGGAGCCGGAGGTGGACTGGGTGTCTCAAAGCACATGTCACAAATTTAGTCGAAGACTCGTGGTACAAACGGCAGCGTTGTTTTTACAGGGGTTGATTGATTGCATGGTTGTTCAGATGCTCCTTGTTGGGTTTCCTTTTATCAACTATACTGTGATTACATGCTTTGTGCTGGTGAGGGAGGCCCGTTGCACCTTCAAGTTTGGGAAGACCCTCTGAATCGACCGACAGAATCGCTACTTGGCTTGTCATTCACATTGAGGCGTCGCTGGTTCACACATCTCCTCAGGGTTTTGTGGAAAGACTGGGGGTAGACTGGGGGTATTCCATTGAACATGCCTTCACCCGGCCGCATGCAGACCAGCTCATCCTTCACACTGCTTGTGCCTGGCTACCATGGCCTGCCGGCACGCGATGCAGAACTCGGCCGTCGGGATCAGGTGGATCTTTGGCTTGGACGTTTCCTCAATGGCCCTGCGAAGAGAGACGGCCGAGTTCTGCATCGCGTGCCGGCTGCAGTTAAGGCATTGGCCATGCCTGTGGCAACTGACCACATTAGATTCAGTGAAAGCACTGGTATCTGGCCGTTTCTGCAATAGCTGATACGGCGAGTCATCCAGGAAACAGGAAACATGATGGTTAGCACATGGGCGAACCGTCGTAGTACCCATTGCAAGCCGGCGTTGCTTTTCAGGCAAAGAATTGAACTGCTGCCAGAGCAAGAATGAAGTCACATCATAGTCATAGTGTCAGTTGAATTGAATGTGTCTGCGCAATGAGAAAACAAGGAGAAAACCAAACCTCCAGGAGATTATGGCTCTAAGATGCTCTAAGTTTGCAATGGGCACACCATGACGTGCCTCTCATGATCTCCGTGTCTGTGTAGAGTTTCCTTTCCAGAAGAAAACTCCTTCGAATCTTGCTGTCAGTGCCATGAGCGCAACCCTCTTGTGTCACCCGGATCACCTGGTCTGCTTCTGGCAGTTCAATCGCTTTCTCATGCTGTGGCTGCTGTGGCTCAAGATCCGTAATGATCTGCTCTGCCACAACGATCTGTGGCGGGGCGTCTTTGGCATCACAGGCGTCACGACAGCTGTGTGCCACACCCATGAAGGATGGGTCCACTCCTTTCCAACGCAGTGTAAGGCTCAAGGTCAAACAGTTGTCACTGAAACCCTTGAGCCACCAAGCCTGAAGCCAGAGGAAAAACATGAACAAATGGAATCAAAATATATATAAAAAATAAAACTCAGTTGGAAAACAGCACTAACAATGCAACGCAAAACCTGGCCTGCACATATCGACACTATGATAAAACTCAACAATATCATTGATGAGAGGTGAACAGTTGCCAATCTATCAAATCGGCCTGTTTCGAGTCAAATGAGGGGATGGTCTTGTCTCGTCTCCTTTAACTTGGATTCTTTGTGGACAAGGCCCTTAAGAAATTTCAGAGCGTTTGCGCAGTTGAGAAGAAAACTGACATTGATGAGGAATGAACAGTGGATAAAGTGGATGCAAACTGCTGCATACGTTCCAGCTTGCAGCTTCAATGACCTTACTGCAATCTATATAATCTTGGCACCCGATTAGTAGGATGGTACCCTATTGTGGCATTTTTTTTATTCCTTATTCAGTTCCATGATGTTTGGGGGGGGGGCCTCTATTGTGGCAAGTTTTTATTTTTTACTTTTTTTGTTTTTTGATTCACATTGTTTTTTTTTTTTATTTTGTCCTATTTTTTGAATTTATTTTTGAATTATATAATTAATAATGTTTTTTTCAGTTTTTTTCATTTTTATTTTTGTTTATATTAAAGCTTACGAATGCAAGGACTCCAAATAATTAGATGCCTTACTAAACCCTTATTTAAAAACAAAAAAAAACAGCATCCAAACAATTTTTCAAGGGGGTACCTCATGAGTGGTTCAGTTACTCAATAATATGAATGTTTGGATGGTACCCTATTGTGGCCAACAACTTTTGGGGTTGAAAAAAATCAAAAACCTTCTCCACCTTTCTTTGAGTAAAGCTGGTCCATACACTTTAGAAAGCCATATGTGTGTTAAAGCTTTAAAATGCAAGGTTTTCCAAATAATTAGATGCCTTATTAACCCCTTATTTAAAAAACTGCATCCAAACAATTTTTCAAGGTGGTACCTCATGAGTGGCTCAGTTACTCAATAATATGAATGTTTGGATGGTACCCTATTGTGGCCAACAACTTTTGGGGTTGAAAAAATCTAAAACCTTCTCCACCTTTCTTTGAGTAAAGCTGGCCCATTTACTTTAGAAAGCCATATTTGTGTTAAAGCTTTAAAACGCAAGGTTTTCCAAATCGTTAGATGCCTTATTAAACCCTTATTTAAAAAACAGCAGCCAAACAATTTTTCAAGGGGGTACAGTACCTCATGAGTGGCTCAGTTTCTCAATAATATGAATGTTATTGTGGCCAACAACTTTTGGGGTTGAAAAAAATCAAAAACCTTCTCCACCTTTCTTTGAGTAAAGCTGGTCCACGTGCTTTAGAAAGCCATATTTGTGTTAAAGCTTTAGAACGCAAGGTTTTCCAAATAGTTAGATGCCTTATTAAACCCGTATTTAAAAAAACAGCAGCCAAACAATTTTTCAAGGTGATACCTCATGAGTGGTTCAGTTACTCAATAATATGAATGTTTGGATGGTACCCTATTGTGGCCAACACCTTTTGGGGTTAAAAAATCTAAAACCTTCTCCACCTTTCTTTGAGTAAAGCTGGTCCATACACTTTAGAAAGCCATATTTGTGTTAAAGCTTTAAAACGCAAGGTTTTCCAAATCGTTAGATGCCTTATTAAACCCTTATTTAAAAAACAGCAGCCAAACAATTTTTCAAGGGGGTACCTCATGAGTGGCTCAGTTTCTCAATAATATGAATGTTTGGATGGTACTCTATTGTGCCCAACAACTTTTGGGGTTGAAAAAAAAAACAAAACCCTTGAAAGTAAATTGAAATCAATTGAAAGTAAAATGAAAGTAAATTGAAATCAATTAAAAGTAAATTGAAATCAATTGAAAGTAAATTGAAAGTAAATTGAAAGCAAATTGAAAGTAATTTGGAACTAAAATTGAAATCAATTAAAAGTAAATTGAAATCAATTGAAAGTAAATTGAAAGTAATTTGGAACTAAAATTGAAATCAATTGAAAGTAAATTGAAATCAATTGAAAGTAAATTGCAATCAATTGAAAGGAAATTAAAATCAATCGAAAGTAAATTGAAATCAATTGAAAGTAAATTGAAATCAATTGAAAGTAAATTGAAAGTAAATTGAAAGCAAATTGAAAGTAATTTGGAACTAAAATTGAAAATCAATTGAAAGTAAATTGATTTCAAGTGAAATCCTTACTTAAGTTGACTATCCAAACAAAATGTTGAGGGGGGGGCGGAAAAAAGCTGCGAATTATTCAGTATACTAAATTAGTTTGAGGGGGGGGGCCCTCACACTAATCAGCTGCCAACATTATATAATTTATATATATTGTATTCTGCGATCTTCTGTATGCTACAGCCGCTGAAAGAGCCATTTGCTTCTAAGCTTTGGAACATAGCTTCCCGGGAGCGTCGTACGCCTTTGTGGCAAACGCGGATGTGCTGGCCATCAGGAAACAGGTGCTGGGAAAGGTACACCTTGAGACATTTGCAGTGTATTCATTTTGATTCATTTTGATTTTCAGCCAGGTTGCGACATGGTCACTGGAATGGATCGGCGAGTGGGAACCGCACCAGAGCTACTCGGCCTGACCACATAACCCGAACAAACCATTGCAAAGAAAATGCATGAACATGCTGGCTTGATGACCCCCAAGTGGCTTACCTTCACTGCTGGCCACTTCCATTTTGAGACATGTATTAAACTTTAGGATTTACGCATATGAATTTGTACTTATATTTGTGGTTTGTGGGTATCCTCATGTACTGCATGTTAGTATTTGCACACTGACATTGTAAGAACGCAATATAAGACACTCAGATACACTCCCAGGCTATACAATATCCTACCATATTTAAACACGCTTATATACTATACTTATCTATACTTTACGATTCCTCTTCCCACTACGTCGAATCGATCTTGCGCCTCACAATCGCTGGAGGCGCAGCCAAACCTTGGAGCAAAGAATGCACGACAAGATGGCTGCTCCTTCTTGACAAAGTGCAGGTTGCTTCATCATCTAGATTCGAGAAAACTGATGAAACATATTGGGAAATGCACTGCAATGCGCTCAATGCATTCATTCTTCCCTCATGATCCTCATCTTTGACTGTTGTTCAAGCTGGCTGATAACTGATTAAGAAGTTATAAAAATAAGTTTCATACATATAATTATATACTCAACACCCAAGTGCCCTGGCCAAGTGATCAAGACTTCACTCAACATCAACTTGTAGAGTTACCATGAACCACCCGGTTGTACTGACTGGTGGGGCAAAAGAACCTGCTGCAGTTTCAATGAAATGGGTATCCCTTTGCCAAGCAGCTACGGCGATCTGGAAAGGGATTTGTAGCACCTGAAAGCTCAAATCGGCAGTTTAAAAATCCATGAACATCCACAAGGTAGGACGACTGACTGTCACTTTGTTCGGCAACCTTTGTCGCACTTTTCTTGAGTGGCTCACTTGCCACCATGCAAAACAGTTCATAGCAAACTGATGCAAAATGCATGGCTGCAACCAAGCGGCTTGCACATCCGGGTATGTATACTGTATAATTACTTGCCCTAGATGCCTTCAGAAATGGAAACAAACCAAGGTAAATACTGGCAACAACAGGTGAAAGTTGAAAGATAACAACAACATGCAAAGATATGCAAAAGCAGTTCACTTTAAATCTTGAAACTAGGATTCCAACATGTCTCGCTTAAACACAGCTCTTCAGCCCTGACTTCCAATCTGCTTCAAGGCACCCAAAGCCGCGCCAGCTGCCTCTGCAGCCGCAGCGGCTGCCTGGTACTGAATCTGCTCAAGAGTCAAAGAACAAGCTAGTGGACTTGGACTCGTGCGAACATTTGTGTTTAACATGGCTCTATAATGCAAACTTATTGAACTGATCCAAGACTAAATAAATTTGAAAGTCAAAAAGTCAAATACTCTTGCAGCTTTATGCGCCAGATCGACTTATTACAATAGTCGAATCCAAAATTTGAATTCTCGGCACTGTGCTTGCCTGTGCAGCCTCAGCAGCACGTCGTGCCATGGCTGCCGCCTGGAAGGCCGTCTGAGGGTCCTGGCCCAGCCGATAGGTTTCAGTATCGGCTGTTCTGGAGAGATTCTAAGAATTCGGTGTGCCCCCAATGAATGTAAAACACTCTAGACCAGCCCCTCACTATTGACCATCGGCGAGCTTTTCTACTCAACTACATGGACGTTCTCTGACAGGCCAGTAAACTGTTTACTACTTGCAACTTGAACCTGCACAGCTTTTCCAAATGCACCGCTTTGGTCAGATCTTGTGACATGGCCCAGCAAACAGGTAGTGACCATCAGGGCTGCACCTCTGCTTCTGCTGCCTTCATTGCACCCTTCGCTGCCTCGCTGGCACGCTCCTGGCGAACTGCGGCCCATGTGCGGCATTGTGACAGTATTGAAATGTATTGAACCATGTTGAGCCTCTAAGCCAGCAGTCATTCAAAACAGACCATTTAGGTCCATTCAGTTCGCTTAGTTATTGCACTTTGAAGTCCTTGAACATGTCTCTACATGTCTCCACATTTGTGCGCACAAGAAGCTCCGTGGCTTGAAGCCTCTACAATTCACGCTTGGCTCCAACGCAAATCTTTCCATTCTCTTCTTGAGCCCATCCGGCACCTGTGCTTCTTTAGCAGCTTTCACGGCCTGCTCAGTCCTGTTAGCGGAGGGGGCGCTCACAAACTGCCGTGCCTACAAAGCTCACATGTAAAACCCAGTCACTGCGGCAGAATTCCCTTTTGCATGCTGTGCCAGTTGCTATGCATGTGGGTCAATTTGTTATGTTTCACAAAGATTGGCCTCTGAGATCCTCCATGCTAGGCTAAACAAGTCCCTCTGTCCTGGTCATTCCTCTTGGCACAGAACCTGCTGCGTGTCAGTGCAATGCTCACAATCAAGCGACACAGGTAGCATGATGAAACTACAAGCATCTGCAAGCAATTCTCAGAAGTCAATTGGAGGCTCCCACACGGGTCTACATGTTTCTACGCAGATCTACCAATGTCATCCAGCGAGTATATATATATGAAATATGTATATATATATATACATACGTATTTATATATAAATTATATAATATAATAATATATATATATGATATCATATGTACATATATATATATTTTTATATATACGTATATTATATATGTATATATATATATATAGGGTTTCTTAAGGGATTTCTGCCTCGCCATCTGCTGTGAGAGTTTGGCAGTGCAGCGGGTAATTGCTCAACCGTCGCAAACCTGTGCTATTTCACGAAGAAATCTACATCAATCTCCATCAGTTTAGACAACAACAAATGGCTCCATGCCATGTACATGGCTCCGGCCTCCAACTGGCACCCAGTCCAAAGGACGTGCTCGGAGGATATAGCTTAAGCGCGGGAAGGAACTGCGCAGGTAGGCATTGCCTCTGCGGAACATCCAAGTGGAGCAGAACAGAACAGCAGGACAAGCTGAATCTGATCGAGCGGACAATTTTGGCGGCGGCTGGGGTCTTGCTTTGAACTACTAAAATCTTCCCACAGTGTGTTGACACGTGTCGACACACGGACCTTTGGATACAATGATGTAACCACTCATAACCACTCTGCTCTGCGATGACATGCACGACACATGCCCACACACATACGCTGGCATAGAACGATACACATGTTGTCGCCTTCCACGTTGATCCGCCGGGTCTCTGGTCCCTCACCCCCAAACTCCGCGATGTCGCCATAGGTGGTGTCGATACGTTCCTTGGCAATCTGTTCCCGCTCAGCATTTGGTTGAATTCAGATCAGACCGTGTACAAAACCAAATTGGCGTATACTAAAAATTACAAACGCATACAAACGCACAAGCCTTGCAAATTGATCACGCTGATTCCAACCATTTGTTTTTTTCTTGACATTCTAGGCCTAACACTATACCGAATGCCCCGCCCTTGTGCGAAGAAAAAAGTGCAAGAGACAGCGGGTCACCTTCGAACCTGGTCTTCCCACATTCCACCCCTGATTTTGCACGCAGCTTCGAGCCCTTGAGAGCTGAAGGAATTCACAAATCACCCGCTTTTCAATGCCTTACTTCTTCCTAAAGGGCAAAAAGATGCAAAAAGAGTCTATTACTCCTTTCCTTCGCCTGTGATCTACTTTGCGAAGTACAAACAATCTGACCAAATCTAACTTTGCCAATCTAACGGAGTTCAATCAAAAGGAATCAGACAAGAAAACCTCCACAGATCTCCACAGTAAGCAACATGTTTGACCCTGACTTCCCCCCAATGGCGAAAGCACATGTTTCAGATGTCCATTAATTCGATTCCGTTTCTTTTCAACTATATAACTAAGATTAACTAAGTAATATATTCCATGACATTCTAAGTGACCTCCCACAAATCACAGGTCGAAGTTGTGGCCGGCCAGCTTAGGCCAAACAGGCTCACGGCACAAATAAACACTCCGCTATGCTATGTACACCTGCTGGTTCCCTGGCTCTCTTGCAGTGAAACCTTGATCGTTACGTATCGTTACCTTAGAACATGGAGACGCCAAAGCTCCAGGCCATCTTGGCCTTGTCAAACGTTCCACTTGATTCCAGTCAGTTCAAGTCAGTTCCACTGCCAATTCTTAAATAAAAACCCATAAAAACCCAATCTCTGGATGTTGGAACGCGTTCACAGCTTCAGCACAACCCAGAGCTCCTTAGGCCCAAATGAGCTGCACGAATACGCTACCCAAATCAATCAATACAGGCATTCAGGCATTCAGTCCCGAAACGCTTCTGACTCACGTACCTTCGTGGAGCGCTGGACAGCAGGCACGTTAGTTCTCGTGTCTGACTCGTTTTCAATTCAAACTGGGAAGGAATTGAGCAAAGATTGTGCATTGTGTTGGCTTGGAAGCCCCAAAAATGGTACAATTCTGGCTTTGTGTTTAGAATTTAGAACCACGTTGAATTACGCCATGGGCTCATTTACGCTGTTCAAAGCTGGCATGTCCAATCATGCCCAGTCATCCAAGAGACCCTTACGCTTGAAGGTTCGACCCCAGGCAATGCTTTTTTCTTCCATTCCTTGCAGCTTGAAATGTAGCTGCCCTTTCTCATCAATTGATCGCTCCTCACGGAAACGTCCTGGAGGCATGGCAACAAGCCAAGATCATGCTTTCAAGATCTTTCAAGCTAGCTAGCTGTAATCAAACCAAAAACTACAAAAACTCGTTGCTGCATTTAACTTTTCTGACAACCAGGACCTGCAATTGCGCCGCGGAAAAGTAGTTACAAGATGTTACAAGCTGGTGACACGTGTAGGGCTAACAGGATGGTTGCTTTTCATCAGCAGGTGCTGATAACAGTAATTCCGAATTCCAGATTTGTTCATGATATGCTGACATGCTGGTTTTGCACCGCAAAAAATCAGGGGACAATTTGTGAGGAATGTTTTTGAAGTACTGCCCACAGCTGCAGATTTGCTTTCCATAATCTCGAGGATGGTCCTTGAGGGCCACAGCGTTCAATGACCAAGGTTGAACCCTCCCATATAGCTGCACACTCCAATGTCTGCTTGTGCCCATCCACGGTGGAATACGGAGTGCCATCTGCAACAAACTCTTCCTGGGATTGCAATCTCGTGTCTGTCTATCCGAAACACGAGCGAATCAAACAAATAAAGACCAAACAGAGGGGACTGGCAAAGCTTAGCGGCCCGGATGTCTCCCAGCATGGTGTGGTTGCAGAAACTGAACTGGTCCTGCAGCAGAACTGAGTTGAAGCAGTTTTTTCCCGACAAACACACACACAAACAAACACACAGACACACACACACACCCTACACATATGACATATGACCAGAAGAAAGGAAAACCAGCAGCACCGTTGCTGATAACATCTGATGACCATAGGGTTGACTATCACCGAGCAAACAATCGACTGTCGGCCAGAAGCTGCGTTTCATCCTGGCCTGCTCTTGCTTGAACTCCCAGCTGGGCCATGGTGCCCTGGAAGCAGCAAGCCGCTTCATATAGGAGATCCCCATTTCTTTCCTCAGCGCGCCGTCGCCGTGCCCCACACCGTCGCCACGAAACTGCGTATGAACCGGCTGCAACATGCAACTCTTCTATGAATCATGCTGGAACAATGGTGAATGCCAGGAACAAAAAGGAACAGAAGAATGAGGCAAACCAGATCAAACCAGTCTGAGTCAGAAAAAAATAACACTCATTTTTGACTAGAATAGGAAAGAAACGAAGGGTTCCCTTTTCTGACTCCGACTATCGAACCACCTTGGCTACCGGTCAGCAAACTTTTGCATGCTTTGCGCACACACACACATGCCTGAAGCCTTGACGCTCCGATTTTTTTAAGACCCAATTCTCATCAATTCCAAATGATTCCACATGATTCCAGGCCGACTTCCCCGCTTCTCAGCCAAGTTTCAAGAACTCATCCAAACCTACAGCTTCAAAGCTCCAAAAGTGCCCACCCCAACAAAACACACAAAAGCACACTACTAGTAGCCCTGAAAATTGAAGCATGGCACCACTCAAGGCCGGAGTTTACCGATCATCACAGCCAAATTTAAATCAAAAATTAGGACATAACATGTCGACCTGATCGCTGAACTTCCAAGAAACCCCAGGTCGCAATGCAAATCCATTCGCCATTGAAGTCAGGACGTGAACTTCCACGGAAGAAATCCGAGATAATTTCAACGATCGACTTTGTGCTAGTCACGCTTTGCCTTTCCACATGTCAGCCCAAGGCACTAATTACTTGCAGAAATGAAGCTCTTCGCCAGTTCCAAAAGGAGGCTTGAATTGTTAAATTATGTTGAATTCATGCACTCTTCACATGGATGTCAGCAATCCGCACCCCGTAAAAGACTAATTACATTACTTTGAGTGATCCCCACCAACACACCGTTCTGACATAGTTTCTGACATATCAGCTGGAACTATATATGGCACATATGTTCTGACATTCTTTCTGGCAAAAGCTCTGACATTGTATCTGACATTCTATGTGGCGGCATCTATTCTGACATTCTATCCAACATTCTATTTGGCATCTATTCTGACATTCTTTCTGGCATTCTCTCTGGCATGTGTTCGGGTCCGGCCAGGCCCACTCCACAGCCTCCTGAGCTCGTGATATGGTGTTTGGGTCCCCAGAGCATCCGGAGCTGGCGAAATAGCAAGCCAGTGCAGCAAGCGAGGAGAAGGCGAAGAAGGAGGAAGACAATACGAAGACAGGAAGAGGAAGAAGAGGAAGAAGAAGAAGAAGAAGAAGAAGGGAAAGAGGAGGCGAGGCGGAAGATGAGGAGTAGCACCTTTGTTGAAAGCTAGAGACATCTAGAGACCCACCTGGCAGGTGGGGAAAAACAACCCAAAAACTTAAACCGTAAACCATCGTAAACCGCTTCATTAAGAAATCTTAAGAAGCGCTTCTCATGAGCCCAGTTGCACAGTCAAAGAATGTGTAGTGCTGGACCTCAATCTCCCCCCATCAATCTTCACACCTCCTCCGTCTTCATCGATATGAATGCCCTGCAAACTACAGGAGGAAACAACTCGACTTCCAAATTGCTGCCTCTTTTCTTGGCTGGTGGGAGAGGTGGGCGAAGGCGGCATCTCTTCTACATCTTTAGCCTTCGCCTCCTCAATAACTCCTTTTGGAGAAATTTCCACCGTTTCCTCCTCCTGAGGCTTTGGTGGGGGTCCTGGGCCAACCTCAGGTTCTGTGACCGCACCATGGCCGCAGCACGCCACATGATTTCCCATGGCAAAACCCGCACCCAGAATCTCAACGTCCTTTGAGGGGGGCCGCTACACAGAAAGTTTGTCTGAGCCCAGCTACTTAGCACCCTGCATCATGAAAAAACTATGATCAACTGGAAACGTCATGACTGGCAACGGTTCTTCTGTAGTTTCTTGGTGAGCAGCATGACCATCAGCAATATCATGTTTGGAATGCTCCCGTTGATTCCCGTTGCAGGGAACCAACAAGGTGCACGTACGATACACATTTCGAGAATTTGAGGGACACAATTTGCGCGCAAACACTACCCGAAACCTGAAAAATCCAGCAACAACATTTTTCCACGCAGCTATCCAAAGATGCCCGCTCCTATCGGCTCGGCAGTGTCCCGATAGCTCGAATCCTCTGCTTTTTGCTTTGGATCTAGCGAGCCAGTCGGATGCCTTCAGATCGGAGTTACTCCCGATCTCTTTAGTTCTCTTTCTCTGCTCCACCATGCCAAATGCTTTCAAATCAGGATACTTTTTACCTACTCAGGGGACCAACGTGAAAATGCCCGCATGCATCTGTTCCTGCTTCCGCTTCCATCTCCACCCTGGTGATGTTCCGAAGATGCTGGTTGATGGACAGCTCGACCCCAAGGTTAAACAAACCAAGCCTCTGGGTGTGCTTGCAGCTAACTAGTGACAAGCTGCATGCCAACAAGTTAAACGAAACTGTAGCAAGTTTGGCAACTGTTACAAGTCTATGGCTGAAGATGGCTGAAGTTAAGACTATGGAAATGTGGGGAGAAAGGCCACCCCAAGAATGCCCCACTTACACAATCCTGCAGTCTTATCATATCTTGTCATGTATATATATATATATGTGCAAGCAATTAATCTGATAAACTCAAGCTTCAAGAAAAGGACATCAACAAATTTGGAAGGCCCCATCGCTTACCAGCCTACCACACATTTGCACAAAAATTATGTTGGGGGGCATCGCTGAAAGGAACATAAATAAAAACAACGTATGTGCAAGTCGGACATAACCTTCAAAGGGGGTATCGCTATTTGGGAAGCAACTATCAGTGACCTCCTGTTTGTGTGTATATGTCTACATACAGTAATATATATATATACATACGGTAATATATATGCATCTATCTATCTATCTATCTATCTATCTAATTATCTATCTATCTATCTATCTATTTATCTATCTATCTATCTATCTACCTATCTATCTACCTATCTACCTATCTACCTATCTACCTATATCAATTACACTGGCTGAAAAACCACGTGCGTCCCTTACATGTTTCTATTTCTACATGTTTCCTATTGCCGGAGTTGTTGCGGTGGTTCATATACCCCTTTCCTGGCCTCCAAAGGACGTTCTGTTCGCTGTCAGGTCCTGTCAGCTGGCGCCTATCTTTGCGTAGTCGATGACCCGAAGCTTCAACAAAGCTCATCCATCAGCCTCCGATGATCGCATCTCAGTGCCAAATAGGAAGAAACCGGGCTTTCCTGATCTACTCATGATCTTATTATCTTATCTTGTCTTACTTCCCGGTGACTCAGAGATACCCAGAGTGGCATTGAGACCTTAGGGATCCTGAGGTGGATGTACAATGGATGTATTGATAAAATGGCCTGAAAAGGCTCTATGCTCCATCACATTCCAAACAAAGGGATCCTGAGTCAACCAGAGGTAGATCTTGCCCCAAAACCATCCAAAACCTGTAATAATCTATTGTCATCTGCTGTCCATGGCTGTCCTATGCTTGACCCTTGCCTTTCATGGCCCCAAACCTGGCGAAATTCAAAGTCTCCTTGCAGCACTTTGGCTGCCGTGGTGAAGGCGGCCTGGCATCAACAAGGAACATTGGAATTAGTGCTTGAGGCCACCAGAATCAGCAAGCATCATCAGCCCAACTACTGTGTTCATCATTTTCATCCGTGGTTTCTGCAGGATATTCGCAGCCCCAATGACGTGCCGCAATTGTACAACGTGATTTCAGTCCTCCCAGGCCTTTGTCATCGTAGACGAAGGGATCGCAAAACTGTTCCAAAAAATACTGTATCTGAAATATACAGTGTAAACTGTAAACCATGGAATGTGGCATGCTGTTTCCATCTAGGAGTTGCGTAATGAAATGGATTCCATCTAATTCCCTCCTATCAGGCCTTATCTGGCTTCGCTTTGGGCCACTGTCTGACACACTTAGCCTCAATGCGACATGGGTGGTCAGACTGAAATCGAAATCTGACCTTGTGGCACCTTGTGGCAACATGTCAGGCGACACCAGGCCTGGCACTGGTAGGTGGCTAAGGCACAAAGGCCCTCTGCATCATCTTGCGCCGGAAATGTTACGCCAGAGGCCTGCAATCTGAGCCGTGGAGGTGGCGTGGAAGGAATTGGTCCAACTGGGCCGTAGGAAATCGTAGGAAACGTGCGGCTTGTCGGAACTGGTCCTCTCTCAGGCCGGGCCTCCAGAACATCCTTCCGCACAAAAATCAAGTCACTGGTGCCACATGCTACGATGTGGATCAAACGATAACCTCAAGCAGCCGCAAATGTGCAGAGGCTATCACCGGGCGGTTTGTGTAGCTCCCTCCCCCGTCCTCACCATACACTCATGTGCACCCTGTACTTCAAGAACAGAAGAACAAGAATCAGAAAAATAATCACCAACTCGCTGCATCCTCATCCCATCTCATCTCCGTCAAAACTACACCTAACAACCAACAACAGCAGCAGCTGCTGCAGCCGCCACCGTAACCACGCCCACACCACTGTCATTGCCACATCCGCCAATCGGAGCGCCCAATTTCGTCAAATCCAGCCCGTTCAGTTATTGAATCTTCAATGAATTTCTTGTTCTTTCTTTTGCATAGCCCGGAAGCAGAGGACGTATCAATTGGTCTGAAGACTTCATTATTTCAATGTTCATCATCTGTTAACCAAGAGGCCCCAGGCCATGCCCAGCTGCAAAAGGCTGTAGATGCTGCCACCCGAAATGCGTGGAAATTGCTGAAGCTGTGAAAGGCAAAGGCGATGAATCCTAGGAACTGCAGCTGGAAAGATCGAAATCTACAATCATCATTAGATCATCTATAGTCTATAATTAGATCATCTATACACGTTGTTTTTTGGATTCCGCAATCCGAATCACGCTATCTAAGAAAAGCACGCGCATATGGGGTAGACACTGGAAAAAACACTTTTGACTACTGGAAAAAAAATAAGGTTCACCCCTACTCTCCACACTGGAAAAAAAACTGGAAACAAAACTTAAGAATCTGTACTTTGAACCGTTTTGCAGCTGAAATCTCTTATTTGTACAATATGTGCAAGGTTTGGGCACTTAAACATGATATTTAAAGAGTTCTGGCCTTGAATAATTCAATTGTGTGCAGCTGAAATCTCTTATTTTTAGAATATTTGCAGGGTTTTGGACCTTAATTATGCAATTTACATTGTTTTTAAAGGGTTTTGGCCTTGAATCCCTTATTTGCACCGTGCTCGCAGCATCTTGGAGCCAGCATCGGTACTACGCAAGGGATTATCTGCAGCATTTCGTGTTATTTGCAGCATATTGTCTAGAGCTAGTTTTTGGATCTATTTCAGGTTGGTTAGGGTGTATTTGGGAGATCAAAGGATGAGAAGGGTAAAGGACCAGGATGAGGACGGTAAGGGACCAGTGGATCAAGAGGACCCAGGGACCGGGGGACCCAGGGACCGGGGGACCAAGGGACCAGAGGACCAGGGGACCAGAGGAGCAGGGGACCAGAGCACCAGGGGAACCAAAGGATCAGGGGAACCTGACATTAGTTTTCCCAGTATATATATTTTTTTCCCCCAGGGTCTTAGTTTTTTTTCCAGGAAACTTAGTTTTTTTTCCAGTACCATCCCCGCGCACATGCAAACAAATGCAGTCAACTTGAGGAAAGGGTCGGAAGAGTCGTGTAGCGAACCAAAACATCATCCATGAATGGCAGGTTCTCACCATATTCTAGCACCACCAAACGAGGGCTGAAACCAGCCTGACATTCCATGCATCAATTGAATAATTCGGGTTGTTTGGCGTTGCTGCAAAGACAGAAAAAACATGAACACGCATTGAACTATTCCGACATATTCAGACTATTCTTTCTAACATCGCGAAGATATCGAAGAGTTTGACTTTCCCAGCTCTGGCAGACTTGCAGAAAAAACCCTCGATCCTTCACGAATCTCTTGTCTCCAGCCTTCTGCAGTTTCAGCCACAAGAGCCACTCAAAGCCATCCGTGTCAAGTGAAAGCATATCAAAGTCTTTTGGCACATCGTTCTCATGGAAGATCTCCACCACATTCGCAGGGGTTACAAATCCTGGTTTTTCAAGACAACGCAATCCAAAATACCAGTCAAAACATAATATATAATTATACACAGTATCTAATGCCCTTTGCCTGTTCAATTCTATAAAATTGGGGTAGTAAGTAGTATAGGGTGGCAAGCGAGAAGATCGAGAAGGAAGAAAAAACAGCAAAATAAAGAATGAAGCAAGAATGAAGCGTTGCATAGCGTCGCCGTTTCTGATTGACATTGGGGTTCCGAAAGTTGTCATCGACCATCAACCCTGAAAATCCATAGCGAACACGTAGGTATCGGGTGTTGCACTGCTCGCCGGACTGGGTACCAACTTCCACATAGTATCCTCACGAGCTAAGAATTACCTACAACACCAACGAAAAAAAAACGAAGTGTAGCAACCTGGCCCTTGATAAAAATGCTAAAGATGCCAGCATTCATATCAGTGATTGATTTGCTACGATCCTTACTGGCGAATCTCAGTAAGTCAAGTGCTTAGATCAAAAAATCGCACATTTCCAAAGGCCAGAGCTTCAGAAATTTCGGAAGTAAGTCAATCGAGTTTCTCCTAAATGCAATCCATCTTGACATGATGCAAGTAACCACAGCTGTGATAAGATCTGCTCCTCAATTTTTCGTGCTAGCCCTACTCCATTGAATGGTAAAATATAGATTTCACCAATGCCACTTAAACACGAGCCAAGCAACCACTGGTGACGCCAATAAGTCCAAAGATGCGTTCAAGCACCTTGGCAGGATCATGATCTCTGAGCGGAGCACTATGGACGTCGAAGGAGCAACTCGGCCGCCCGGCCGCATCATTTTGAACCGAGCTTAACCAAGTGTTCTTCAGATGCCAAGCAACCAAGTGCAAACAACTAGACGACGGATGGCCCGAGAGCGTAGAGGAGCAGAGTCTTCTGTTGTTACTATGGAGACACGCTTTTTACACACAGGCTCTTTTACACACAGACGCTTTTACACACAGACGCTTTTACACACAGACGCTTTTTACACGCAGGCGCTTTTACACACAGACGCTTTTACACACAGACGCTTTTACACACAGACCCTTTCACACACAGACGCTTTTACACACAGACGCTTTTACACACAGACGCTTTTTACACACAGGCTCTTTTACACACAGACGCTTTTACACACAGAGCCTTTTACACACAGACGCTTTTACACACAAGCGCTTTTACACACAGACGCTTTTACACACAGACGCTTTTACACACAGACGCTTTTACACACAGACGCTTTTACACACAGACCCTTTTACACACAGACGCTTTTACACACAACCGCTTTTACACACGACACTTTTACACACAGACACTTTTACACACAGACGCTTTTACACACAGACACTTTTACACACAGACACTTTTACACACAGGTGCTTTCACACACAGACAGTTTTACACACAGACACTTTTACACACAGACACTTTTACACACAGACGCTTTTACACACAGACGCTTTTACACACAGACGCTTTTACACACAGACGCTTTTACACACAGAAGCTTTTACACACAGGCGCTTTTACACACAGACGCTTTTACACACAAACGCTTTTACACACAGAAGCTTTTACACACAGAACTTTTTACACACAACACTTTCACACACAGAGGCTTTTACACACAGAAGCTTTTACACACAGGCGCTTTTACACACAGACGCTTTTACACACAGACGCTTTTACACACAGACGCTTTTACACACAGACGCTTTTACACACAGAGGCTTTTACACTCAGAAGCTTTTACACGCAGAAGCTTTTACACACAAACACTTTTACACACAGACGCTTTACACACAGACCCTTTTACACACAGACGCTTTACACACAGACCCTTTTACATACAGACTCTTTTACACACAGACGCTTTTACACACAGATGCTTTTGCACACAGAGACTTTTACACACAGGCGCTTTTACACACAGACGCTTTTACACACAGACGCTTTTACACACAGACGCTTTTTACACACAGACGCTTTGACACACAAACACATTTACACACAGAGGCTTTTACACACAAACACTTTTACACACAAACACTTTTACACAAACACTTTTACACACAAACACTTTTACACACAGACGCTTTTACACACAAACGCTTTGACACACAGACGCTTTTACACACAGACGCTTTTACACACAGAGACTTTTACACACACACAGACGCTTTGACACACAGAAGCTTTTACACACAGACGCTTTTACACACAAACACTTTTACACAAACACTTTTACACACAGACGCTTTTACACACAAACGCTTTTACACACAGACGCTTTTTACACACAAACGCTTTTTACACACAGACGCTTTGACACACAAACACATTTACACACAGAGGCTTTTACACACAAACACTTTTACAGAAACACTTTTACACACAGACGCTTTTACACACAGACGCTTTGACACACAGACGCTTTTACACACAGACGCTTTTACACACAGAGACTTTTACACACAGAGATGCTTTTACACACAGAAGCTTTTACACACAGAAGCTTTTACACACAGACGCTTTTACACAAACACTTTTACACACAGGCGCTTTCACACACAGACGCTTTTACACACAGACGCTTTTTACACACAGGGGCTTTTACACACAGAAGCTTTTACACACAGACGCTTTTACACACAGACACTTTTACACACAAACGCTTTTACACACAGACGCTTTTACACACAGGCGCTTTTACACACAGACGCTTTTTACACACAGGCGCTTTTACACACAGACAAGTCCGGCACAAGTAAAATCGCAATTTTACCTCAGTTTTTGACGATCGACCCTCATTTCGTGCGAAAAAGTTGCTCCAGCACACGATAAATCGCAATTTTACCTCAGTTTTTGCCGATCGACCCTCATTTCGTGCGAAAGGGTTGCTCCGGCACAAGTCAAATCGCAATTTTACCTCAGTTTTTGCCGATCGAACCTCGTTTCGTGCGAAAGGGTTGCTCCGGCACAAGTCAAATCGCAATTTTACCTCAGTTTTTGCCGCTCGACCCTCATTTCGTGCGAAAGGGTTGCTCCGGCACAAGTAAAATCGCAATTTTACCTCAGTTTTTGACGATCGACCCTCATTTCGTGCGAAAGGTTTGCTCCGGCACAAGTAAAATCGCAATTTTACCGCAGTTTTTGACGATCGACCCTCATTTCGTGCGAAAGGGTTGCTCCGGGACAAGTAAAATCGCAATTTTGCCGCAGTTTTTGACGATCGACCCTCATTTCGTGCGAAAGGGTTGCGTTTCGTGCCGTCTCGTTGGCACTGCCCCTGCTCCCGCCTTCAAAAGAGAAATAGAAAAGAAGGAGAGGGCAAGAGGGCAAGAGGGCAAGAGGGCAAGAGGAGAAGATGTGAGATGAGAAGATGTGAGAAGATGTGAGAAGATGTGAGAAGATGTGAGAAGATGTGAGAAGATGTGAGAAGATGTGAGAAGATGTGAGAAGATGTGAAGATGAGAAGATGTGAGAAGATGTGAAGATGAGAAGATGTGAAGATGAGAAGATGTGAAGATGAGAAGATGAGGAGATGTGAAGATGAGAAGATGTTTTACAGACCCCCACTATTGGAAGAACCCTGCGCTCAGACGCTCTCGGGAAAAATCATTGAACTTACATAATCTTACATACATAAACAAGTGAGTTTTGGGCAAGCCAAAGTTCCAACTACTAGACCCAAACTATCTCAGACTTATGGAGGAAACTTGAGGAAACTATATAATATTATATAATTTTATATATAATATGTTCAGTGTCCAAATCTAAGTAGCCAGGCTACTGGGTCCTTCAAGCTCTCAGAGAAGACAGGCTCCAAATTCCGCTCCCAAATGCCAAAAGGTGCCATGGAGCCACTTGCCTCATCGACTCATCGATTGAAGGTGGGCCAATGGCGCAGTGGTTACTAATGAAGGAACGGGTTAACAATGTTTTTCAACGGCCCATTATTAACTATATATAGATATAACTGATATAACATGATATAACTAGATCATGTTTGATGACATTAGATAATATTAGATAAGCCAAGAAGCTAGCCACAGGAACATCACCTTGAGCCCTTCTATTAGGAGCTGCGTGATCTAAGCAAATGGTCTCCGATCCACTGGCCAAGGGGCCACTGGTGCAGGTGTCGACGGCCGAGGATTGGCGGCCGCTTTGCTCAGCCAGAATTGATGCACCTGCATTCTGGTGCAAAGGAAGGGATATGAAGGGATCAAACTTGGCGGGGATTCGCAATTTTATAGTGGATGCTTTTGATGTGTGTCGCATTGTTTCGCTTGCCGCTTCTGGCAGTTGCAGTATGCGTGACTCATCTGGCATCGCCACATGCTCATCATGTCCATTGCTTGCTCCAATCCATGCCGAATCATGGCTGAATGGCTGAATGATGCTAAATGTAGCCAAAACAGAAGCAGGGCAGTACACACATTCAGATCCAGTATGATCCAGTTTCTCTCTGCGAAAAGGACTTGGCAATCTCCACCCTTCGATCCCCTCCAAGCTGTGTCCCGACAGCCTCTAATCCATGACCCAGCATGTTGACTGCGGCGCCGTAAGCAGGAGATTCAGTGTCATTCCTTGGGATTGCCATATATGAAAAATGGCGAGAAGCCTGGAATCCAAGTATAATTAGTTCAAGCAGTGATAAGGTCAGGTTGGAACTGAAACATATATACCGAAACCACATACTGCATGTTGGTTCCACCACAATTTGCCCCCGGCTCTCGTGCACACTCTTCCAAATCTGCCCAGTAGCTTCAGTAGTAGCTTCGTGAGGGTTTGAGCGGAGACAACCTCATAAGCATAATTACTGTACATATAAATATAACATAATATAACTGAAATTTCTCTGCGACTGAGTGGACATATGACGATACTTGCATGATCAAACCTGTAGGTTGGGCAGGCTCTGTCTTTGTAAGGAGTGAGGGCTCGCTAAGGCATGCTAAGGCGAGGTTTGGTGCTGGGTCTCATGCTGGCACTGGCAACGCTGCCAGGACACATGACGCATACCCAACGCAGGCATCAAATCCAACAGCCTGGAAAGATCTGCAAAGGCAACAAACATCAAAAAACTGTAGAAAGTGCCCATGCAAGTCCAGTGTCACTGGAAGCTATGGCTATGCTCACAGCGCGTCACAAAGAAACCGTAAGAAACAGCCTCTCTGCAAGAGGTTGCAATTATCATGATGCCAATTATATCCAGTTATTCATTAATAGCATTCTCTTCATTCACAGTATCATTTCATCACGCTACCTGCATGGCAGCCCTGCCTCCTTGCTGTAACAAGATGTGCCAGGAGCCGGGCACCAACACAATCGTCGTGCTGCAGCAAATGAGGATAGTTTGCCATGACCTTTGGGTGACAAAACAAAACAATTACAAACTGCAGAGGGGTTCATTCGCTGTGGATACATTGAAGGTCACCGGATCATTAAAAAAATATGGAGAAACTTGAGAGCAAGTTGAATGCCATGAATAGATTGAATAGATCTTTTGTTCTCAAAGCTTGAGGGTTCCAGCGCCACAAAAACACTGCCTGATCGGATCTTGTTGGCCTTGTCTCAATCCGAATTACTCAGACGCGCTGCCACCTCTCCAAGAAATGGTCATCCTCTCTGGGAACCCTGCGTGCATTGACAGTGCCAGTTCTGAATATCCCGGAAGATTTACATAGCCATCCGCAGCCACCGACAAGGACCTCAAACACAAATAAATTTTCAGATAAACATCCATAAGGAGAAGCACCAGCGTTTTCATCCTATTCATTGTCCAGAAAGTGACAATCATTGACCATTCACACCAAATTGCAGAGATGTTTCGGGTCAATTGTTTCTTGGATTCAACAAAATCGCTCAGAATCCAAGCAGCATTCCAGCCGCACGAGACAGTGAGTCTGTGGCAGTTGCGACGATTTTTTGGCAAACATCTCCAGGTCTAAGTAGGCAAGCATTCAATACCTGCATAGCAACCACTATGCTGATGGCATTGCACATGCACATCCAACGCCTTGTTCTGGGAGACGGCGGCATACATCCCGGAACGCACTAAGGGATCCTGCAACCCGCTCAACCGAAACTCCCTTTGGGTAGCCACCTTCCAACTTCTGATGTTTCTCTGATTCGACGTAAAAATGATGATTGATTATAGTGGTGTTTAGATGTGTTTAAACGTGTTTAGATGTGATTAGTGGTTTCATTAGCTCCATCAGGGGGGGGAAATGGCAGGTCCAGGGCACCAAACACCCAGATATCATGCAGGAACTCATCTGACAGGGTCATTTCATGCGCAATCTGTCCTGCAGGTTGTACCACACCAGAGATCTCGTCCAGGGCAGACTGTTCCAAACCTGGGTGGCACTGATGCTCCAAGGAAAAATCGCGCACACACACAGATATTTATATTGCCACACTGACGGTTTCATATGGCAAGTGTCAAGGCCCGGTGTTCAATCGAGGTCGTATCCGGGGCGTTTGGCATTTTCCATGTAAATTTCTGCACAAAATGCCTCTTGTGACATGATGTGACATGTCCATGTGCATTTCGACTGCGCAGGCTCGCACAAAATGCTTGCCGCGGGATTAGCGTCCGGCATTTTCGATTTCCGCACAATATGCCTCTTGTGTCATGTCCATATGCATTTCGGCTGCGCAGGCTCGCACAAAATGCTGACCCCGGGATGGGCATCCGGCATTTTCCCTGTAACTTTCCGCACAAAGTGCCTCTTGTGACATGTCCGTGTGCATTTCGACCGCGCAGGCTCGCACAAAACGAGTGTCGCAGGATTGGCGTCCGGCACTTCTCCTGTAAACTTCCGTGCTAAATGGCTCTTGTGCAATGTCCATGTGCATTTCGCTCGCGCAGGCTTGCACAAAGTCTGCTTCCCGGTCTTGGGATCGGTCTTCCTCCTCAACAACATCCTCCTCAACATCGGGATTTTCCTCCTCCTCCTCCTCCTCCTCCTCAACATCCGCAGCATCATCTTCCTCTCATCCTCATCCTCATCCTCATCCTCATCATCATCATCATCCTCATCCTCATCCTCATCATCATCATCATCATCATCCTCATCATCACCACTACCACCACCATCATCAGCAGCACCATGATCATCATCATCATCACCATCATCATCATCCTCATCATCACCACTACCACCACCATCACCAGCAGCACCATGATCATCATCATCATCACCATCATCATCATCCTCATCATCACCACTACCACCACCATCACCAGCAGCACCATGATCATCATCATCATCATCACCATCATCATCATCATCATCAATATCATCAATCACCGATCACCGATCACCAATCATCATCATCATCACCACCATCATCACCATCATCAGCATCATCATCAACAACATCACCATCCCATCAACACTATCACCAACGTTATCATCATCAACAACATTATAATTTAATACATTATCATTTTACTACCCCCACACTGTTTTTAGAGTCTCTTGCCGGGATAATATATATATATATATATATTGTTTTGATTCAATCAATCTTAGTCCTTCACCAGTGGCTACCATTCCAAACTGAGATGTCAGGATCAAAAACTACTTTTTAGGTCACGAAGCCGAAGATCTGCTGAGTATAACATGAATGCTACTCCAAACTGCTGCCGGTATGAACTTGCACCTGGCATCGTTTAATGCAGCTTTTTTCCATCGACAGAACTAGTCCATCTAGCTATGTCTGGTCGTCTCATGCATTTCCATCTCTCTCTCTATATGTATCTATATGTCTCTCATCGTCTCTCCCTTTCCCAATAAAACACGGGTCAGACGGTCAAACGTCATCCAATTTCGTCCAATGCCGTCCAGCTGCAGCAAAGGCTTCGTTCCATTGCTCCAGCAGCGCGTGATGTCGTGCTGCAGCAGCTCGGGCCCCGCAGCTCAGCACGGCTAAAAGCACAGCAGCAGGGCACGCCTCGGCTCAACTCACGATTCAAATGATTCAAGGGGCATTAGCAGCTGGAAGTGAATATCCACATCTATCAGTTATCATTGGGCATGAGTGAATATGTATGTATATTAATGTATATATATATGTGTGTGTAAATATACATATAATATATATAATATTATATAATATAATGTAATATAGCTTTGCATCATGTCACCTGACAATAATACAATATCTGACAAAAGAGCAGCAAAGGGAAACCATGGGAAACCATGGGAAACCACATCAGTCTCCCCTCACGCCTCGTAGCTGAGACCCGGGTCCTGCAGGATGGGAACCTGTCGATTTGACGACTGGGATTGGCGGCCAGGGACCCAATGGGACCCATATGGATCCATATGGCATATGATGGATGATATATCCATGGCGACAAAGCAACGATCAAAGAGCTTTCAGCACTGGACATGGGTCAAAAGTCGTCAAAAAATGTCAAAAATTAAAATAACTCAATTCAAAAAATAACTGTTTCGAGCAAAAGCAGCAATTGGAATCCAATCTGCTCTAAAGCCGGTGTGCCACAATCAAAGATTAACGTCAGGAGTCAGGCATGAATTTTGGAAGCCCATGTTGTGAGGAAGCGAATCCAGCAACATAGCCCAACCTCTGTCTCAATTTCGTCAAAAAGAAGACCTCTCCAAATGATCCTGGCCACAGTGACAACCATCAGGTTTGGTAGGGCAAGCTGCACACTTCATAGTTCCCTTCAACTCCATAGCAAAGCCATACATCATCAGTGCGTATATACGGTATACATCGGTATATCGCTGGGCGTAGCCATCCGACCGCCTCACAGAGGCTGTGAACTAGAGACCAAAGCACTTCGGCCCTGGACTGTGCGTGAAAACAACAAAAACCTGCACATCTAGGGTGAAATGCAACGAGGATCAACGAGGGTGATATGCATACTACAAACTCAGCAGCTATCCACAATCCATAGCTTCTTGGTCGAACGTGTTCAAACCACCTTGATCAACCAACAGGATCCAACAGGCATTAATATACCAATATGCATTAATATACCAATGTTGGATCATCGCGGGTCTGTTTCTGGAGTGCTCCATCAACCCCTGCCTCTCCGCTGCTCGTTCCACAAAGTGGAAGGCTTCACCCCAACAACCGCGGTCCAAGGTGGCAGCCTTGTCCAAACGTGCCAATCGATCTCCTGTGGCAATGCTACGTGCTCTCAATATCTCTCAATATGTGGCTATGAGTCAAAATTGTGTATGGAACGTTCCGCGCTGTTCCGGACGTATGGAACGAAGGGGTTTCGTAATTGGTCTTGTTCCGGACCTTTGGAATTGTGATGAAATATAAGCTGTACATAAATAAATATATATATACTGTAAATATGTGTAATATATGTATAATTACATCTCAAGGATATGCACGTTGAAGCTACTACTGCTGGCTGCCGCTCATTTTTACTTCTCATCTGTGCGGCATCCTTGTTGTACACCTGTTCAACGCAGGTTTGCCTTGCATGGCTAGTGCTCGTGCACTAGCTAGGACATAACTGGTAGCCTGGTAGCCAGAAACGGCAGGTTCTCACATAGACTGCTCCTAAGCCATCCTTTGCGCGTGGGTTTTGGGAGCCTAGAGTCTTGCTACGCGGGGACACAATCTACCCCATAGGGACCGGGACTTCGTCATGGATGGTACATGGGTGGTCCGGGTCTGGAACGGGTATGGAACGGTATGGAACGGGGTCTGGAACGAAACGGCCCACTCCAGCACAGCTCGGCCACCACGAAGCGCATCTTTATCAAAATTGGCAGTGTGGAGCGAGAGTAGCGCAGCAAGCAATTCTTAGACTCTTAGCCTGCCAGCTGGCAACAGCCAAGCGCATCTCTACCATCAAACATCACAGCTGTGCCACAGCGGGCAGCAACTGTAAGTGGTGCAGGCGCAAACCTGCCACAGGTTGAGAGGGAGGGAGGGTTACAAGCAATCCATTCTTAGACTGCCAGCTGACAACAGCCAAGCACATCCCTACCATCACACAACAAACGCTGCAGGCACAGACTTGCCAACACAATCACAGGGCTTGGGCATAGTAAACCTATTCTTGCATGTATACACTCATGTATGTATGTGCGCTCAAGTATGCGCGTACAAATGTAAAATCAGACTGCACATATTCAGGTGTATATATAGATAAATACATATATATATATATATCATAACGTATGGATCAGAGGTATGGAACAGAGGTATGGAACGGATCCTTCAAGGAGGTATGGAACGGGGGTATGGAACGGGGGTATGGAACGGGTGTGGTCCCGGAGCTTGTTCCGGACCTCCTATTTTGACTTGCACCCATGTAATGCGCAGAGGAAACGAGTACACACGCCATCTCAATATGTCTCAATCCTATACTCACCACACTTGCAGCAGCTTAAACATAGGTCGACACTTGCATGCACAGCACAACCAGCTGATTGATTCAAGATAGGAAAACATACCCAAACAGCAAAGGATGTTCTCTTCAACACAGTCTGGACTCACAAAAATAGTAGTAGACTTAGTAGACTCCAATAGATTCCCAAATCTTTGGAAACTGTGTCCTTGAAGGAAATCCGACGGGGTCAGGGGCGGCCTAGAGCTGCACAACACCACCACCACTGACCCAACTCCTCGCTGCAAGGGAGGAATTAGACTTCAACAAATCCCCAACTGTGAACTTCATGAAGCGACCAGCCTGACGTTGATGCCAACCCTTCACATATCATAATACAGTATATCATAATATCATACAATCATATAAATAATATCACATCAGAAAAGATGCTTAAAGATGCTTAAAGATGCTTAAAGTATGTTTCAAATCTACGGTGGGTACTGTACCCCATGATGCCCGTGCTTTTGTTTTTGTATCACGTCACCTCTCCGAAGTTATCACCGCGACGGTGCATGGCATGGCAAGGCTGATGATCCGACAGCTCCTTCAATCGCCATGGCTTCACCATGGCGAACTGCAGAATTTTGAACCACCTTTGCCGACAATTTTTGGTCGGTACCTACCTGAATCTCGTGCTGAGCAGCTGCTTTGCTCTAGCACTTGCACATGACTTTTGGAGAAGTGCTGCTTTGCTGGAAGGGAAAACCGGGAAAAGACAAGAAGTTTGAGCCAAGAAGTTCCGACCTTCATACACTCCAACAAGACTCAAAAGGTAGCACCTGTACGGGCTACTCACAGTCAGCCTAGTTATAGATTCCAACCTCTTTTTTTTATTTTTTTTCATCATTGTGAACATCAAAAAGTTGGATCTGGATTCCAGTCTGCAAGTCTTCCCCCTTTTCCATCCTTTTCCTATCCAATGGCCAAGCTTCTAAGACCTCCAAGGACGACTCGGCCACAGCTCCGATAGGTGTCTCCCAGGACTGTCTGCCCAGGCAATGCGACATGTCGCCTGTGGGCACAGAGGCAAGGTGCGTCAACGTGCCGAAGGACAAAAGAACAATATCCTAAGGTCCTAAGTGCGATGTTTCTTATTTGCGAACAAATGATATACTGGAGCCACATCTTTTCAGCAAGTGCTTTATTCAGAATCATGTTTCTCTTGTAATATCAAATGCATTCTCGTACTTGTGGCAGTAGTCTGCTCTGCGGAAACACAAGGGAACGGGTAAACACAATGATGTTCTTATATAACAATAGTAAATTTCAGCCAATAATAAATCCATGCGTCAAAATTACATGTTTGTTGCCAATACTGAAAGTAAAAGGGCCATTATGAATTTCTGTATTGCTATGTTACCTATCTCCCGACGACCTCCCGAAATTTATTACCTGAACAAGCAATTGCATTTGTTGTTTCGACCTCAACGTTTTTGTGAGTAAAACATTAATAAACACAAGAATGCATAACATTAATATATAACAATAATAAACTTTTTTTTGAGTTCACAAAGGGTACACCACATGGAGCGCCAAGGAAAGCAATAATAAACCCGAAAGTAGCCAGGCAATAATAAACTGTCTCTGTGCTTGTTATGTGTGTTTTTGGGTGTTTAGTTTAAACCAAAATTACAGAGAAAAGAGTTTCCTCTTTCAACAAGAAAACTTAAAGAAACAACAAAAAACGGAAAAAACATATCCAGCTCCAAAAGAGCTGATCTCTTACTAAACTGCATTTTATTTTTTATTTTTAGTTCACAAAGGGTACAGTTAAAGCAGTTATATTTCTTCAGCGATAAAGGCAATAATATACCAACATAACCACTGCATGAGATATAGTTACAGTAAAGCAATCATATTTATTCCTCAGCAAAAGCAATAATAAACCTGAAAAACATCCATAGGTAGATTTTTGGCTATTTATATAAATTGATTTTAAACGGGATTGGAACCATTTCAAAAGGGATTGATTAAACGTTGTTTATTATATTTTTTTGAGAAAAAATAGGGTGGCTATTATTGTTATAAGAACATTACACAGGTTATAGCCTGATGTGGTAGATTGAACTAACATATGTATACCTGCAAAAGGATGTATATAAAACATGGTAAAACATTGTAAAACTAGGATGCAAAAGGAACTCGAAGGAACTGGGATGTCTCCTTCCATTCGGTCAATCATCTCTTCATACCCGGCAAATGACACCGCCTGTGCAAATGAAAATGGTTGAGCGGCGTGTGTTTTCCTCAGACAGCGCTCCCTGGGTCTCCATGCAGCAATTCTTGGAATGCATGACAGGCGTTTGCGAAAACCATATATGTTTTGAAGTTTTGACAACGAAACGATTTTGACAAAGAAACACGGGTCTCAAGCACATCACCTAAACTTTCCCAGATGTGCAGCTGGCAAATGGAAAGGTAGAATTGTTTCGGAGCTCTAGCTGTTTCTCGCTGTAAGATCTTAGCAACAGCACCCCTGTTCGGACTGTGGTTTGTGTGGATTTTTGACTCATTTTTGGCGACTTTTGTGCCACAATTATGGGAAACCTGACCAACTAGGGTCAGGTATATATTGCAGCCCAGGGGCACCAACAGCAGCAAAGGCTACTGCTCCCAGTAGAAAAGGCACACCGGTTGGTGGATCGTCCTGGCGGCATTGTGCCCAACATACTCACGAGATTCCATGACACTTCATTCAACTTCATTCCCATTAATTCATATTAATTCTATCAACAAACAAAACAAATAAAATACCAGTATAATATAATTTAACCATATTTAACCAGCAAGATTCGCACTTTGTATCGATGTCAAGGCAATTCCCCCCCTCCCTCCGGAATGGTGGACAACTCGTGCTTTGGAGGCAGTCCAAATTGCACGATGCCTGTGCGTAGCATGGAGGTTACGGAGTTGAAGAATCCGATGCTGGGGCAATACGCAAGAATGATCTAATGCGGAAAGAAGTCATAAGTATATATATATATTCATAAGTATTAAGGCTTGGAAATCTAGGAGTAGAGCTCGGGAGCACAAAAGACGGTGAACACCCACTGTATTCGGTTGTACTATGCTACGCACTTGTTGATTCTTTGGGTGAAATGGAGAATTAAACTATATAATATTATATTAAATTTACATAAATTTACAAGTTCAAACATATTCAAACCAGAACTGTTTTGCTTTCCGTTTTGGTCACTGTCGAGAAATATGACAAACTTTAGGTTTGACCACAGGCTGACAAGGTCAAGTCTTTGAAGCCAAAGCGCAACCAGGCACAGCGCGGTAGAATGCACGGTCATCAAAGTCACCTCCCCATGAAAGAATGGAGCAGTGGGATCGAGCTGGAATCATGCAAATATATATGCAACTGCTTATTACTTTATATCATCTATGCATGCAAATGCTTATGTCTATCAATTTCATTGAAATTCAAAAACCGTATCTTAGCAATGAGGTCGTCAATATCGTCAATTGTTTCTCTCACGATTTCAATTTGTTTGAGGGATTGAATCCGAGAAATTTGCGCAATCATGAGCTGTCCCAACCCAGTCGAGGACAAACTCTAAAGGCCACCTGCAGCAGCCAGCTCCAAGAAGCGCAAGGTGCCATGAGGGGCCCAGTCTGGACGCACCTCTGACATCGATCAAGCAGCGCCAGGTGAACAATGGCAAAAACCAATCGGACAATATGACTCCTTACTCAGAATCATCAGCTGACATCAGCTGACATCAGCTGACATTGTCAGATTGGTCGATGAACATTGAACGGCATGGCTTGCACCAAGCCGCGACGATGTCAATGGTCCCGACCTGAGCTGCCAATGTGCAAAGCGGCAAAGCGTTTGGTGGACTCTAGTGACTCTCATGGAGCGGCTGCTTCCAGCTGTGGCTCCAAACGGTGGTCTCAAAACGCACGGTGAATGCCACAGATGCCATAGGCAAATCATGTGGCAAATCCACCTGTGCCTTGCCATGACCAAAAACTGTTGCACACCAGTGGCAGCAAAGACCATTGTTTGATACGCGGTGTACGTTGTATTTGTTTGATAGGAAACATTTTGAGTACATGATTAATTACATGATAGTCAATGATTCAATGATAGTACGTCTTCAAACTGATGCGGCAACTTGAACTCGTTTCTCTGGCCAAAAAAGGAGAACTGCAAGGATGGACACGCGACACTTTCAATTCAACATTCCACACCTGACTCTGTTTGCAATGGGTGATCTGGCTCCGTGACTTGTTGCAGGCTTCCCCCCAACCCGGTCTTCCATGCCCGTGCTCAGCCTGTGGACTGACATCGCCACCCGGATGCCCCTGCAAGGCAAAGGGCCAAAAATACCATTTCAATTGACGACTTTGGGATGAAACACCTTGCTAAGCCGAAAATTAAAACTATCTTCAGGCGCTTGATTCTTGAAAGGTCTTAAGATGTCTGAAACACAACGGAGGCCCCTCTACCACATCCCATGCAAAGTCGATACCAACCAAATCAAACTGTCAACGGCCGCCAGGTACAGAACCTGCATTCCCTGCTCTTCTTTGTCTTTGGCCTCGGTTCGTCTGCCGAAGAGAGCATCGAACTTAGAACCAATGACCAACAAATCAGGTGGCCAGACCCTTTTTTCCCCAAGCTGGCCCTCTCTCGTCTTACTACTCAGCAATTTGCTTCGCTGTCTGGTAGCACTGCTCTCTTCATCCACTTTCAGAGTCTGGGTGAAGCACCTGTTGCCGAAGCCATTCCTGCCAGCTACTGTAAGCCAAAGTATGCCAAAGCAGGTGGAGGGTGTCGTGTGAATCAGTACAATTTTCTTCTGTTGATCAGGATGCCTCTCCGAAGGTTCAGCCTTTTGTTACTTCATTGCAGCTAAGCCTGCTTTCCTAGAAAACATCATGATCAGGTCAGCTCATCAACACTAGTGGCAGGTGCTTACTGACCTATTGACCATGTGCTTGCAGCAATTCCTACCTCATGTACCCCATGTATCTCCATATTGTGTTTGTGTGTGTGTGTGTCTTTCTCTCTCTCTCTCTCTGTCTCTGTCTGTCTGTCTGTCTGTCTGTCTATGTGTGTATTTTGTTCGACCTCATCAATCATGTGTTTCAGAACATGAACCTGTAATCGCTGTACATGAGTGCTTGATCTTCTCACCATGGCTGGCCGGGCCTGCTCCAGCTCTTTTTGTTTCTGGTCGCTATCCTCTGTTGAGGGCAGGCAACTTCTGAGGAATGAAAACATCATTATTATATATATACTGTATATACATGTATGTAACCTTTGGATGAAATATCACAAATGCCAAACAGTCTCATGCAACAAGGGTATTGGGGACAAACGAAGCAAATGCGAAAACAACTACGAGAAAGAGTAAATTCAATGCTAGGCAATCCTCCTACACCTTTTTCCCGACCTCCTTGCCGTTCACCATTTCCTCTGCAGCATGTTCTGCCTGTAAGACGGGGTAGCGGACAATTTCAGTTCTATCACATGATCCAACAATCTGATGGCATTGTGAGGGGTTTGGGCATGGACATCCAGGAAAATCCGAACAGTTTTGAGCATGAGCATCAGGATCAGTTTTCAAACCCTCCAACGATCTTCAAGTCTGGGGAACCGATGTGTCTCATCTGAAAGATATTTTGTGGAATTCCGTTGCTTGTTGTGTTGCCCCTTGAGACCAACACCATAAAGCAACAAGTTGCACCTGCCCTCCTCCAGCATCAAGGGGTGGCGGCACAACCTTCCCTACCTCCAGTAGCAACGGCGTGCGCTCTGTAAGAATCTCATTGGTAGATTATGTAGAACTCAAAGTAAACGAGACCAAAGAGAGAACCCTGGCAATATGCTTACAAATTCTAAGGACTGCTCAGGCTGCTCAGCAGTGTTGTTGACAAAGTGTCTAGTTGGTTTTGATGTGCCTGTGCTGTGATCAGTAAAGAAGCCATAATTATACAAGATCGTCGCAAGCCAACAAACAAATCACGCAGCAAAGAACCGCTTCCTGCGGTGCACTCTCGTACCAAGCATGTCAACCCGATAGCCAAATCGGATAATTCCCTCTTCAAATACAGGCTTCGATCAAATAAAGACCCTGTGCACGAGCTGGATCATACACGATCTACCCCAATATTGCCGCCCCAGCAGCAGCCATGGCCCACCTCAGTTTTCCAAAGTCCAGGTATAAGGTTCCCCAACTGATGTAGATTGGGATTGACAGGGTGGAAAGAGACGGCAATGAATCAGCTTCAAGCAAGGCAAGGGGTACAGCAACCGTCTAAAACTATTGCGATTGTCCCTTCATCTCCCTTCAGGTCTGCTTGTAAAAATGCTGAACCAGTAGAATGTAGCACTCACATGTGTATCATTTGTGTTTCCAACAGGAATGGAAATAATGGAACATAATGGAACCATGATGAACCAAGACGAGCCAAGTCACTGTTCAACTCCCTCTGGGCGAGTCAGAAGGAGGGTGCTTCCAGCGCCAAGCCCATCTGGGACCCGAACCTCACTTCAGAATCGAGAGTGAAGGGCACTTAAGTCTAGCAAGAAATAGCAACAAATAGCAACAAATAGCAACAAGAAGTGATGCTGCTGTAGCTGATGGTTTCCTTGGTTTGTTTTGTGTTTCCTTCATGTTCTCTCTCTCTCTCTCTCCATCACCTTCCTTGATTTAGCTTTGGGAATTTTGAACTGTTTAATCTAAATGGTTTCAAAATGAGTCAGCGTGCCTTGTTCCTGCCCTCCCAGAGTTCAGGTCCTTTCCTTGTTCCGCTGTCCATTTGTTCGTTGCTTATCTTTAAATCATCTTCTTGGTTCTTTTCGAAAGGACGCAGAAACACAGGCACATGCTGAGGGCCGTAGAGAGTAAAACTGGGCCTCTACGCATAAAAAGGGTTGCAACTCTTAATGCAATAATATATGTGCTGCCCTGACGTTCTGCAACGTTTGGGTTGTTTTATGATATAAATGCTTATTAAAATGCCAGTTTTGTCGTGCAACCATTAGCCAGGGAAAGAAAACGCCAAACAATCTCTCAAGATCCTGAAGAGCCCACTTGAAGTCCGAGGATTGATTTATAGCGGCTGTGTTCAGCGAGGAGTTTCAGCTTGAAATTCCCTGCAGTTGAGCTCAATACCTTCAGTGTTTCAGCGCCACCTGCGGGGTGGTCACAAGTTGGGCCGGCCCTGCAACTTAACTTGCAAAACTCTTCGAACAGGCGTCGAAACGATAAGAAGTAGAAGCCCGAATCATGACAACGCTGCAAACCTGTCCCTTTCTGCATGTGAACGACATCACACGCACAAAATGGCAGTCTGATAATGTCTGATCTGTTGTTAAGAACTTCTGCTCCAATTTGAAGGCGTGGGGTATGGCTGCTGTAGGGTTGCTTCAGGTGTAACTTGCCGTGGTGGAACAATGTCCAACTCCACCGGCACACCTTTGATAGGGATGGCCAGCACTGTGCCAGGGGGAGCATCTTCCGGCACGGTCACAGTGACCTGTGGACGTCTGGTGCCCAGCAAAGGAGTTGCTGAACAGGATGCGAGTTCTGAAGTTTCCTTTCCAAGCCAAAAGGTATTGGAATAAAATCAAAGGATTTACTCTGCCCCACCTCGAGCTCCCATTTTCTGTAATGTGTCATTTCTTGGAGTGGCTCTTTCTCTTTGTATTTTTATCTCTATCTCTCTCTCTCTGTTTCTGTCTGCTTTAGCAGGTTTATGACGGTTTATGTGCAAAGGTCGGTTGGCTTCCTGTTGTTGCCACACTTCCATGAACCGGATTGCCTGCGTCCCTGTGCGGCTCGTCATGCCATCAGGAAACACTGAACTGCACTGAGAAAGCGGACTGCCTAGCTCGATATTCGCCTTTTATAGGCTTAAATCGGCTTAAAGATCTTAAAGGCCGGAACGGGAATCACAAAATGTGCAGCTGAGCAGGATAATTATTTGCTAACGTTTATTAAGTCCAAGCTAATCTGTTGAATTCGACCGGACTCTTGAGTCTTGTCAACCTGTAATACTGAAAATGGCCCAAAGGTTGGCTGCAAATTCTAAGACCGCAGGCTAGGTTCAAATCCGTTTCTGAAACGCCCAGGCTCTGACCCAAAGGATGGTTTCCTACCAGTGGAAAACCTTCATGTTCATCAAATGTCGGGGAAGTACTGCATTCAGAAAAACAAAGAAAAACCATGGATTGAAAGCCGAAGCTTCAAAACATCTAGTAGACCATACAGTAGCCTGTGTAAAGTGTGGTTTAGGTTTGTCACCTTCACAATGCCAGTCAAGAATAGTCAGGATGTGTGAGCCCCGTGTTCGTTTCAATAGTCTTGCCTTGTGTCCTCCACCTTGTTTGGGCATTATATATTCACATCACTTTTTGCCAGGCTTCATCTTGCCAGATTTTACCAAACTTGTTGAGCCACCATGGGACCGTGAGCCATCAAAACGATTCAGAATGAGTCAGGACGTATCTGAAGCTGTCATCTGGCAGCATCATAACGGCATGGATCTTTGCATCTTTCAAACCAGCAGCATCGCGCAAACATGTGCAAACCAAAAAACATGAGTCATGAGAGATTGCGAGAGGAATTCAGAATCCTCTCCCAGCACTTGTTTTTTTGACAGGCGGCTCGCTGTACATCACTAAAGAGACACTTCAACGGAGCTCAATGGCTGACATCCTCTGATCTACACATGAGGGTGAAGTGCCTTAGCTGTTGGATAGGATGATGATGGGAGCCGCATTGAATACACACCTCAATATTCTGTGCTCTCCGAAGTCTGGGCATGAATTCACCGAACAACTCCAGGTTGGCATAATCAGGGTAGCTGGGAGAATTCTGTGGCCCGAGGGGAATATCATAAACACATATAAACACCTATTATGGATATAAAAATAACATGGCCAATCTTGGATACCCGTTTTTTTCTTTGGCAGCTGGTTTGTATACATCCCCCTCTATAGCAAAAAAAAACACACTATTAAAGTGCTAAAGTATACCCATCCAAGGTCGACCCAGTTATCTGGTTTCACACGGTTTCACAAATCACTGGAGCTTAGGCTTGAAATGTTCCGTGGCACGTCTTGACACGTCTTGGTACGTTTGGCACGAGGTGCCTGGTACTGAAGCTGGTGAGGTTATTTCTGGTAGGTCGACCTTGCGCAGCACCTGCGGCACCACAAATCTGCTCCCAGCTTGTGGGAAATGTTGGACTTATGGTCCAGTCGTCAAAAATATCTACCGTTTCTCTAAGGTTGACACTCCCTTTGCAAAGCTACTGTATTATAATGTACTAGTATATCTAATTAATAACTGAGGTTAAGCAGTTCAACCCCCATGTTCATGTCAATGGAAGAAAACACAATCTTCGTGAAATGAGAAGATTCGCACTCACCCACATCACTCACCTTGCTTCATGTCATCCAACAACTTGTAGAGTTCCTGACAAGAGCGACTCCCAGCAAAATATGTTGTGCATTTTGGATCATTTTGGTGCAGCCTTGTGACATTGTGTTACATGATGCTACAAGAATCCGAAGTCACAAGTGAGCGGACGACCCCACATGATGGCTAGAAATAAAAATACCACGCAGATATATACATGAAGTATAAAAATAGAATGCATCAGTACCATACAAGTGACCACCAGGATCACCAGGATCATAAGGATCACCAGGATCACCAGGATCAACCTATTCGCATCCACCCTTTCACCTTCTCCGCGCCTCCAAGGCCTTTGCAGGAAGCTCCGGATCAATGTGTCCGCAGCTCAGCAACAGGCCTTGGGATTGAAGGCTCCAGTCGATGAATTAATGACAAAAAACAGGAAATGAACATGTTTTCGGATTCTTCTCTGCTTCAACTGTTAAGACACTGTGATGTCAAAGATCGAGGAACATGTGGAAACTGTAAAGCTTCACAGTATGTATTCAGGATATTCTAAGTCCCTTTCTGCGGTTCACTTGATCCATTGGACAACCACTGAACCCAGCATTGAAGCGACTCAGCAAATTTGGATCTGCTTGCATGGCCATAGCAAACTGACCGAAGTAGCCGCAGCCTTCAGGTTTGCTGGCAATGAAGGCCCTCAACTTGTGAAGACTTTCGCGGAAGTCTTCCAAAGAACTCCCAGGCAGGTAAAGAAATAGACTTCCTGCACAGCTTGAAGAAGCAAGACATGCCTTCAGTTCAGAATGCTCTGAGCACAGAGGATCAATGATCATGAATAATCATGAATCTATACTATACTACCAACATGCTAGCTAGTCATGACTGCAGTCAACTCTGGTGTTCAAAATCTGTCCAGTGTTCATTGTCTACCCTTGGAATCCCCTCAGCAATATTCTAACAAGGGGGTAGCAAAGCAGCACAGGCACTATATTCAGAGTTCATTCCGATGTGCATAATATATATATATTATAACCAAACTGACATCCCTACAAGTAATTAGCAGCGGTTTCCGCTGGCTAAGGGGATGCATTGAGTTGCTTTGTTCTTTTAAGTGGGCCAGCAATTGAAACATCTGAGAAGTTGATTGTGGTTTTGCTCTTGCATATTTGCTTTCACGTCCGTGATGTCCGTCATTCGCTGCTACCATAGTCAGTTGCTTGGCAAATTGGCCAACCCCCCCAAAAAAAAACACACAAACAAGAATTGGGTGATACATGATGATACTGTATACTGTCAACATCCAGAAGGGATATGTAATGATATGTAGATACATGACGGGTCATGACATGGTGACAATGCGATTTAGATTTAAATTCCAATCTTATCTTATCTTATCTGAATATCCAAACTTCATACTTTTAAGTTAATGTGCCACTTTGTTGTGACTTTGCGGAGCAATCAGCTAGCCACGGTGCTAGGGTCCTGGATAAATGAGGTCGCCTGAGAACAGACGATTCTCTGCTGGCAAGTACCTCAAAATCCAATTCCAATGCAAAAGAGCTGGTTTCTTTGCAGAATTGCTAACTTGAAACAGTTGGCAAAGAATCCACAAATCCAGAAACACTGGAAATAGATGGAAATAGCATATATAAGTGTAAAATAGTGTATAAATATAGTATATATTATATATGATAATTATATATGTATCATGAAGCATCAGTTTGCTACAGTAGCTATGTACTTGTTCCATCGATGCATTTCAACATGTCTGTTTCTATTTCATGATCTGCCTGGACTGATCGGGGTGCCAAAATGGATGGTCAATGACAAAAAAAAACAGACATCTGTGGTCCCCCAGGCCTTGAATTTTGACCCCATGCCATACCCATTTACATCCATTTGCAGTGTCAGGAACTGCGTCAGGACACTGCAACTTGATCAAACACTTTTCACTCAAATTACCAAAATGAATCAGCGAGGTCACAAGGAGATCGAATCTGGTGTGTGCCCGGGAGTGTGCAAAATCTCCAGTGACTCCTCATCCGTCGGTTCATCATCGTTCAAATATATCCTGGCACCTTCATCGAGCCAATCCTGAGAGCCAGGTGCTCGCATGCAGCATGCAGCATGCTACGGAACAGCCTAACGATCGGGTCTCCGGTTTGATAACCACCCAAACCTTGGGGCCATGTCATACTCAGACCGCCATTAACCGTGTCAAAAAGAACAAACAAACATGCAACTGATCTGCGATTGAATGCTGTCTGCGAGCAAATGTCTGTCACTGCAAAGTCCAAGATAGAGGCGCCCACCATGTCTTGCAATGAGTTGGCCTGCTACAGGATCTACAAGTTTCGCGAAAATAGTTGAACTGCCAAACGTGTTGTCCATTCATCCCCAAATAGATCAAATTGATTCTGCATGGAGTATTTTAGATGCTGACCTTTTGGCTATGATCAAGAGTAGTATCTGACACAACTGACATGACTGTGGTAGGTAACAACCACCTCCTACCGCAGGCTTCTTTAGCCCCAAATCAAAAAGGTGCTCACGCTGCTCCGCAAGCAGGTTATGAGCCCAAGCTCGTGCCTCTCGTCGCTGAAACATGGCGCATCGACGAGGTAGAAGTGTTCCAGGACACCGAGAAGGGCGTCTTCACTTGAATGAAGGTGAGCCGGTGAACCCTTTTTGGTCCCAAGGAGTCCAAGAGGCAGCAATGGTGGACAGGCTGAGACCAGCCAACCTACCGCCAGTCCGGGTAACTCCAGAAAGCCTACCTCCAGTACCAGCGGATGATTGGGATGGAGATGAAACAGCAAGACCGGTGCAGGGGCGTCCTCGAGCGATGGGTAGCGGTGGGGGACTGCTGAGAAGTCAAGGCAGAATGCCAGCTGTGGCATTTGAGACACCTAGCAGCTGGGAGCCTCACACTCCAGGACCACAGGGCACTCAGGTGTTCAGGATGGAGGAAGAAGCTTCGAACTTCAACCTCTTTGACTTTGATGAGGACCTGGCGCAGCAATCCTCATGTGCAGGAATTCCTCAAGTAGATCTTCTTGGCCCTCTTGGTGGTGAAGGACATCGAGGGAAAGGTCAAGGGGGAAACGATCATGGAGAACGACAAGGTGATAGACTTCGTTCTCAAGGACCTCTACGGCAAGATCGAGATGGAAGGGAAAGGGAACCTCCTGGACAAAGGCAACGTTCTCTGGATCTTCTGGGTGATGTTCTAAGAGGTTCACATGGTGATGTCTCAGCTCTGCAACGTGGAAGGGCCCAAAGTCCGAAAGATCCACAACGTGGAGGAAGTCGTCATGGAAACGATCGAGACTCACGTGGACTTTCTGGAGACCGTCATCGGAACGATCAAAGTAGGTCTAGAGGTGAAGATCGTGCCAAAGATCATCTGCAAGGAAAAGAACTCCGTGCGGAACCCAAGAAAATCCAACCGAAAGACCAGACAGGTTCAACGTTGGAGCAAGATTTGAGTTCGTTGTTGGTGCAGCAGTTGATGCAAGAAAATGAGGAGCTTCGCAAAAGGTTGGATGCGATGGACAAGAACCAGCCTTCTTCTCATGGACAACAAGGTCAACATGCTCAACAAGATCAACAACGTGATGAATTAGATACTTCGAGTTGGGAATCGATTCCTTCAAGGGCGACTCCAACAACACCTACAAACCGCCAGACCAAAGACGTGGCCAAAGTCACTCCTGGTGGAACTCAACTTCCAGATGGACCACCGCCCATTGACAAGGTGGAGAAGGATCCTATGCCGCCGCCATTGCCTCCGGTGCCACCAATGCTTTTTGGGGGATATGAGGAGCACAATGAAGCGGGGGTGAACAAGTGGCTTGGACCTCAAGCAGTACGTGTTGGTGTTCAACAAGGTGATGGAGAGGTACATGGCTTCTGGAATAGCAGAAGAGGAGGAATCCAACAAGTACCTGATCCCGAAGCGGAAAGGGTTCAACGACTTGAGCAAGAACTCAGGGATCTTCGCGAAGCTTTGACTATGCGACGACTACCTGGTCAAGAACCTTTGGGTGCATATGGATCTCAACCATTTCAAAGAGTGGGACCTCCAAGTGCTGATCCGCCGGGAGCTCAATGGCATCTTCGTCAAGCTTGCAATGACGTCAACATGCGCGACTGGATCCAGGTGAACAGTGAGAATCCATATCTTCATCAACAAGATCCGTCTATGGCTGGAAACCAACTTGGATATCAAGGAGGCCAGTTTGGGAATCTTGGTCAAGGTGGAGGTCAACATCAAGGAGGTGGAATTGGTGACCCAAGAAGTTCCTTGGGTGGTGGAGTTCAAGATGATCGGCCTCGTGAGGAAGAGCTCAAGCCGGTGACCATCACTCTGCCGAAGCTCCCGGAATTGGGAGGGAAAAATCAAGGTCTTGAAGCAGGTGACTGGATGGCCCAAATCCGTCCACAAATTGCTGATGTCAGTCACCGTGCAATGTGGTGGTGGGATACTTTGGTGACCATGACCACTCAACGTTATCAACAATGGTTGGGAAGTGACCCCATCACTCGACTCAATGTGCAACCTCCTACAGTTGAGGAATTGCCAAAAGGGTTTACGAGGTTGGAGCAGAGGGTGACGTCTTTGCTCATGCAGGCCCTTCCAAAGACTCTGGCTGCTGAGATGATTGCAAATCGCCAGCTTGGGGCTGCTCAGATCATCTTCAAGGTGATGAAGGTCTACCAACCACAAGCTCTCACAACAACACAACCTGCTGGAACGTACCTGGAAGCTTCCACGTCTTTGCGAATGTGGCAGCGGCATCACTCACGAGCTGAAGAGCTGGGTGCAACAGTTCCAGACCCTACATTGATGGTAGGTGCGCTTGACAAAATCATGTCAAAGTTGTTACAGGGGAATCCTCAGGCGAACTTCCGCCTCAGTGCTTTTCGAATGGGGGCACAAGTTGACACAAAGCCCACAGCTGCCACGGTCAAGCAACTTCATCAGATGCTTCTTGCAGAAGTTGAACTTGCCATGGGTAGTCAAGAAACGCATGGAAAAGGTCAAGGAGGCCCTGCAGTGAAAACCCTGAAGGATAACAAAGCTGGTAGTCCAGCACAACCTGTATGCCGCTTCTGAAAGTCAGATCAAGGATGTCGACAAGGAGCACAATGCAAGTTCCAACATCCAGCGCATGAAGATGGCAAATACCACTGCTACACTTGTGGCGCAACGAACCACAAGAAACCGGATTGCCCATACAACTCTCCAACCAAGGAGGACAAGAGCAACACTACGACTGGAGCTTCAAAAGGTTCTCCAGCCGGGGGGAGTGGTGCCGGTGGTGGTGATGGAAAAAGCTCTGGAAAACAGGGTGGAAAAAACTACGGCTACAAGGGTAAAAGTGGCAAAGCCAACAGAGATGACCAGAAGGGCAACTCAGCAGGATCCAAAGACGATCAAAAGAATGTGAAGAAAGTTGAAACTGATGGAGGAAAAGAAGTACCAGCTGACTCAAAAGGAACATCAGGTGCTGGTACGGGGGAGACTTCGACTCTGGTGACTGAGGTATCATCGTTGATAAAGACTCTTAAAACCCCGGAATCCTCCTCAACAGCATATCGCAATGTCAAGACGGTGAACCTCCGGAAGATTGACATGGGCAAGAATCAAAGGGTTTTGATCGATGGTGGGGCCACTCACGTTTTGAGAAAGGCCAAATCTCGAGAAGAATGGGATCTTGGAGAACCAGTTCAAGTCGCTTTGGCGTCAGGAACCGCAGAACTGAAACAAGATGCGGTGACAGGGTCTTTGTTGACACTCCATGACGTCCAGATGATCATTCCTATGGCAGCATTGACAAGGCTGGGCTATGAGGTGAAGTGGACAGGCTCCGGCTGTAAGATCAATTCACCAGATGGAGCTCAACTACCAGTGCGGCTCGATCAGGGGTGTCCAACGTTGCCTCGGCGAGAAGGGGTAGACATCCTCCAACAGGTCGAAGATCATCAACGACGGGAGACACAGATAAAACTGGCAGCCATCAGACCAAACTTGGAACTGCCAAAAGCGTGTCCAGAAGTGGAGATAGTCAAGAGACTCAAGTCAATTTTTCCTGAAGTGCCTGCAGATCTGGCAAAGGAAATTCCAGGTTTTGCTGAGGTCGACATGAACCAAGTGGTCTTCAACAGACATCATCGACGAAAAGTTCAACGTGCAAAAACCTTGGTGGTGCATCTTTTTTCAGGAGATGATCCAAAGTTCTGGATGGCACAGGAGAAGAATGGTGTTGTCATCATCTGCATTGAGCTGACGAAGGGGGCTGACCTTCGAAATGGCCATTTGTATGGGTGGCTGGAACGACTGGCGAGGAGCGGCAGGATTGATGTTCTTCTTGCTGGACCACCATGCAGGTCTGTGAGCGTTTGCCGACTACGATCTCTTGAAGGTGATGATGGACCACAGATCGTTCGGGCAAGACACGGCAGTGAACGGTTTGGCAGAAATGGCCTCACGGAAGAGGAGCTCAAGCTGGTCTGCAATGACAACTTGCTCTGGATGAGGACGCTCTGGCTGGCAGTGCAAGCCTATGAGGCGAACCAGAACTTGGAGATCACCTTGGAACAACCACAAGATCCTGAACAGTGGAAGCAACCACCTGTGGACATTAAAGAGAAGATCCCTGGTTGGAATGGCTTTCCAAGCTTCCTGGCATGGCCTGAGACTGAGGTGATGGTGAAGAAATGCAACTTGAGAAGGATCAGTTTCCATCAAGGTGCGCTTGGACATCAAACGAACAAACCAACTACGGTTTTGACATCAATGAAAGAACTTTTTGACCTACAAGGATTGATGTCAAGGGGATCTTCCAAGGAATGGCCCTCAGAACTCAATAAGCGCATGGAACTTTCGAGCTCTTTGGCGTCATGGGCACCGGGCTTGAAGAACCTCTTGGTGAAGGGCATCAACAGGGTCAACACGCAGACTCCTGCAGTATGTGCACTGTCTGCGGTGGAGAAAAGACAAATCAAAGAATGGCAACTGCATGTTTCAAATGGGCACAAACCTTTTCGGCGAGATTGTGCAGTTTGTCTTGAAGGTGCAGGGAGAGATCGACCACGGCGTCGGCTACAACATCCTGAATCCTATACTCTGAGTATAGACTTGAGCGGGCCTCACAAGAAGGGGATTGACCAGCGGGGACGGCCGACCTACTTTATGGTGGCGGTGTACACGGTCCCTGTGCAAGACAGCTTTCCACTTCCAGAAGGTTTGCAGCAAGTCGCAGGTGGTGAAAAGCGTCGCCTACAACCTCCTGAAGGCAGTCCTTTAGATCGAGATGATCTCCTGGAA